AAAGCTCAGGTCATGTGTCCCTTTGTGGGTTGGAAGTTGTGGCTTGAAACGAACGCCCTATTTCCCCCTCCCATTACTTTATCACACTAAAACTGGACTTGGCGGAATGTCGCAGGGTGCTAAATATAGTTTTTGTGGCCTCCTTTGATCTCCTTTCTGCCCGAACTCGTCTCCCTCATGTCTCTACCACGGAATCGAAATTGGTAAGTGCCATTTTACTTTTAGGAGTGAACAGAGGGTTTCGCTTTTGAGTGGAAGCTGAGAAAACTAATTGTAGTCTCATAGTACCACAACAGCCTTGGAGTAATTTAGGCAGGTTTAAGCCACTAATTAATCGACTTTTTATTGTTTGTCGACGGATAGGATTCTCCTGAGTCGAGGAGTCCTTTCAGTGACCTGGTCAAACCAAGATGGGGCCTTGGAGGACTCCCACGAACCGCTTTCTCCCCACAGTAGATAAGAGGTAAGACGGACTTCACGCAAGTGTTGGACGGTTTTTTAGTCGTGCCTACGTCCGCCTGATACCCCAGCAGTAAAGTGGATGACGATTTTTGCCAGATTTCAGCGACCAAAGGCGGGTAGACTCCTAGTCCCTTTAAACTCGACTATTTAGGGGAATTTCTGTTATAAAATAGATGCTCATTCACACATGAGTACAATAACTCTTAGTTCTGTAAGTCATGTGAAATTTCTCCACAAACAGAATCAAATTATTACGAAGCATATATTCTGAAGTTTGCCAAAAGAAACGTCACGCAAAATCCACTTGGTGTTTGCACATTGTGTTTGTCTATAACACCAGGATCAAGTTGGTTTTGTCTGTAAAAGCCGATTTCACAAGTTAATCCGAGTTGAGCGAAAAACGCGTGGTATTTAAGATGCTTTGTAGGAAACAGCTGCGAGCGCATGGATATTATGCGCATGCTCCTTGCTAACACAGTCTATATTTCTTCACCACGAAAGGTCACAAAACGATAGCACCATTAACCGTTGACATTTGAACGCACCTCGAGTCTGAGCGCGGGCGTGCTTACGGGGGATAAATGTGTCCGGCTCCGTAACTGCTTCCCGAGTCAGGTAATCCCTGTGTTTAGCAGTTGCACACATTTGAGATCCACCTTCTTTGGTGAAAACCCAATGGAAATTTTTGACCACCCCGCCATCCTCACCTTGAACCGAACCAATCGAAATGCAAGCTAGTTTTCTTTCAATAAGAGTCAGCCAGAATATAATTTTTGTTTGGGGAATGGTAAATCTGCACAAATCTTGCTCCTTTTATTACGCTACTTTAAATTTTTATTATTTTTTCCTAATGTAGGAAAATTACTTTCCGCGACATTGGGCAATAATGTGGTGATTCTGGTTGGTGCATGACGGTGCCTCATTCCATACCACGATCAGCGTCACGTTGGCTACGACTGAACGTTTTAGACATAGCGAAAAATAACGAGGTCGAGGTTTGTACAGGCCTGTGGACCAATTGCTAGCGTCAAATGAGGTGTTGGGTAGATCCAAAACTTGATGTTGGCACGGCTGTCTCGACAGGTGACTGGACGAATGCCACACCAAACGTTTGGCATGCATCCACTGGAGGACTTGAATCTTATTCATGGTTTCGCCTTTAAGGGGTGGTGGTAGCGGACTAGCACACATCTAAGACGTTCAACAAACCTAGACGTGCATATTTCATGAGCCTATGGAAGCCATGCCTTCTTAAGTTTTTGTTGTCTAGGCTAACCGTCGCAAATAAATCTGTGTAATATTCACAAGGGTGATTTTCGAAACAGTCTTAATCTAATTTACCGCATGCACACATTGCGTTGTGCAGTTGGCACCACTCAAGCTGCACGTGCTTTGAAGTTGCGGGTTATAATGGTAATTGACGGCCTGTCATTCAGAACGAATTCTTCCGCCTTGCCTGCAAAGTGCACAATATGCCTAAGTGTCTTGCGTGCAACTTCCGATAGCCGAGGTGAAGTGCCCTTCGCGAACTTGTGTTTAATCAATGGTTTGTAGGTGAACGGAACGCAAACCCACCGCAGAGCAGTGCAGCATCGATTGGGCGATGCCTAAGCAAAAGATCGATGTAGGCGTGGGCCACACAATGCGCTGTGGTATGGCGCCACACTCACTCGTGAATCGGTGCCAGTTGTTGCAAGTTTTCCTGCATTGGTGTGACGAATTGTAACTTGACAAAATTACTCTCCCTCATACCAGCTGGTTTACGCAATTTCATCGACCAATGTAGGGTGATATTTGCCACAACTAGCCCTCGGTAACATGCACTGAATTGCACCCAGCATGGATGCGTTTGATTACGGGCATGTAGTCGATCACACGAAACAAGGCTAGGTTCAAAAATACTGACCAAGTGGTCCCATTAGATTTTCTTACGAAAACAAGCGGCACAACTAGCTTCAAGGGGCGCTACGTGTGCACTTTAATGTCCACGCCAAAATTGCCGTCGTTCAGTTTCACGCGGGAGGATTACGAGGATTGTGATCACGTGACCCCAGCGTCGAGTTACTACGCGTGGACGCGGCATTAGTTTTAGCTCAAAGGCCGACGGATTGCCTATGCACGTTATTATTGGTCTGATGAGGTGGCGTCTTCCTTGAACAAAAACCCGCCTCAAAGAGCGCATTTGGCCTTGTGAGAATAGTCGTCCTGTTCCTAATGCTAATTTCGCGAACCACCGCCTTCTGTTGACTGATGCCCAAGCCAAACACGGACAGTGTCTGAGACCCACCTGCTGTGTTTTCGTCAATTAACGAGACAGTGACTGTGAAGCCGCTAATTGCCAAAATCCAAGGCCACGAAAGAGGCTCCCCACTGTGGCAAATCTCCGACCCACTCACCATTAAACCGTGAATCTTTGCAAATCCACTAAGACCGAATTTAAAAGCAGTCGCGATAACTGATTGTGTCTGTGCCAGGTGGCCCCCCGCGCGCCCAGGCGGACATCTGGTTCGATGGCTAATTAATGATCGTGTCCTGTCACAAATTCCTCATAGCGTGGTTAACCCTTCGCATACATAAAAAAGATGTTATATGCAGAATCGAAAACCGTGCATTAAAAGTCAACTCGGTCGACGGGGAACAAGGTTGTTTCAAAACAGCACGGGGCCAAGCCACTAACAGTGAAAAAGTCCAACCGAAGAAAGGGCGGAGATGCAGATAGCGTGTAGCCCAACTTCCATGCTGATACAGTAGCAGCGTGGTTGTACACAACAAATCGTCAATTTATTTAGGATCGGGTACTATTGATCTCTGCAAGAACATAGCTACATTAAGTGTGTTCACGTAAGTCGATTGCATTGTCTTCGCCACAAGTCACTTACCCCTTAGATACCATTATCGATCGCCTGTGTAGGCGTAGGTGCTGGTTGCAAATGTGAGCAGTTAGTGCTATAATAATCTGTTCGCACCTTGTGTTTCTTAATCGAAGCTATCAAATCAGAACAAATATTTAACAAATACAACTGGTGTTTTGTTCAAGCTAGTGATCTAGATTTCGTGGGAAAATTTTTCCTCAAGTAAGAATGAGTTGACTGTTACACACGCACACACACACGCACACATCAGTTAAGAGGCCCTAAGCAAGAGTAGTTCTAGTTATTGAAAAGCACTTCGTTTTTTTGAAAGCACAAATGATTGGGTCGCATCAGCGCAACAGTATCCACTTCCTAACCGTGTTCTGATAGAGAGAGGCGAGAAAGAAATCTCATTTCCCACGCACTGAGTTCCGCCACAACCTGCGTTTGGCGACACGGAAACGCCTAGATACGCTTAGTACTCATTTGCGCGAAGTTGCCCTACCGTGTTATTGGCCTTTGTTGCAGGAAGTGACTAATGTTCAAAGTCCAGTGTTGCGTGCAGTGCACAACCGTTGAGTTAACTGGGTGGCAAAACGCATTAAACACCTCGCACAAAGGATTTAACTGAAACCGCTACATTAGGTCTGGTATTCGTGACCGTTTTGTGCTGCAATCCAGCCAGTGAAATTGGAGACCAGCGAGGCTAAGTCGATGGCCTGAGTTGGGGCGGACCGCGTGTGTCCGAGCAAGCAGGGCACTCAAGTGGGTGTCCTGGCCTCTAACGCAAGCACCACTCAGCCAGGTTAGGGGCCATTGGAACCTACCGATGGCTATCCGGCCAAGGAAGTGCAAGTGGTGGTCAATCGCGTTGTTTTACCCTTTTTTAACGTAAGGCCAGGTTGTCCTCATGTGGGTGCTTTCGCACGTTCGGACATGAGTGGTCACGTGACGGTACGAATGACTCATCCCACTCAATCGCTTGAAACCGGAGAGGGCTAGGATGAACGTCCTTATTCCGCTTCAGCGTCTAATCTAAATTTGTATACTGTGGTTGAAAGGGTTGTCGGCTGGAGACCGCAGACAAACCAGATTAAGGAAAGAGGTCATCCAAGTCCAGTCAGGTCCATCTTGGTCAACTGGACAATTTTCAAGTTTTGATCTCGTTCCTCAGCTTTCAAAATAAAAGCCAATAGGAAGTGAGCATTGTTTTCTCATCGTCACCATCAACACCCACGGCAATCCACCATGATCATATTTCTGCATCTAAACTATTGTTTTTTTCCTTTTAGAAATGCACACTTACCTGCTTGTACATTTCATGCTTCATGGTATGCGCAAAACAGAAATTTATGAGCCAAACAACTCCTTCCGCTTTACAAAATGTCAAATTATCCCTCTAATGCTTAATTAATTTAATCTCGCTAATCATTTGGAAGGAGACAAAGGGGCAATTAATCTTTTTTTTGTCAGTAAGGTGAAGACGACTATCTTGACAAGATATGAGAGGGTGCCTTAGTGTTTTCTCTCAGTTCAAATGCCCTTTTTTCAGAAAAAAATGAGAAACATATTGAAGAACGAAAATTTATTCTCAAAAAACGTGTTGAGCTGTGCAGGAGCACGAAGTGGACGACAATGAACATTTGGAATTGTGCTGCTGGAACTCTTTTTGTGCAAAAACCCAGTTTAAGTAAAGTGGTTCAGGAAGTTGGACGGAGGCAGAGGAGGAGGGGTTGAAAGATTATCAACAATGAAGCAGTGGATTCCCGAGGACTGAGGATGGGTCTGCTTCACGAAATCGTGATATTCCCAGTGGATTAGATCCTCGGAAACTTGGTATAACTGATAAGGAGATGTGGATCTGTCAGCAATAGAGTGAAGGCGCTGCACTGCCTTAATTGTCAGGTAATTAAAAATCACGTACTTGAATCGTGATCTACATTTAAATCGGCTGATTTGCGTTTTGAGAAGGAGACTTCGGAGGTGACACGCCGACCAAATCCATGTGAACACAACCGAACGTCAATGGGACCTTTGTGTTTGATACGGGGACAATTTCCAGCCACTCTCACGAATTCTGACCATCAAGTTCTCTCCAGGTGGTCTAAGATAAATGACTTTAGTTTGAGTGTACTCAAAAATTCCTGTTTGCCTATGCATTCCAGTTTGGTGGGTTCCAGTTGATGGCTGCAGCTTTTGACTGCCACGTCATTATCACCCTGATTTCAACGTTGCCTAAGACGAAAGAATCTTTATACGCTCACACTTAGTAAATGTCCCTCGCGGACCTCTGTGAGATTTTGGATGTGCCGTGAGCATAAGAATGCATTTTCTAGGTGCCAGTTGCCAATTTTGGATCACAAGCAACAAGTAGCAATGTCTGTTCAAACCCAATCCGCTTCTTGTGACAGACCAAGATGGTGAACCTTTCACAATCTAGCCTTGGAGGATGTGCGGGAGTTTCGCAGGTTGACGCTTCATTTTAGGCGAATCTAACTTCATTGTCATCACGCGAGCACTGGGACCTTTGGTGTTCACTCTAGGTAGAGCATAGCTAAGTTCTAAGATCTGCTTGTATAGAGACAGCACACAACTGCTTCTATTTGTCCTTACATACTCTTGTCGAAGGGGATTTAAAAGTTTTGAAAATGTTATACTCACGTCTGTACAAAGATATCACTGGTCACAGCAACTCAAGGTACATATTTTTAATACGATAGGACGTTACAGAATTCATATACTTTAGACGACACTCATAGTGCATGGTTTGAAACTCAACAAGACAAGAACATGGCAGGTTGGACAGTGTACTTCCAGGTAGAGCTTCTGGCATCGCCCAGAGCCCAGAACGCCTGGGAGAGCTTGTTTTGTGATTGAGGGGTCTTACTATGATCTCGTGTTTCCACCGAGGAGTGTACTATAGGTGGATTCTCATTACCTGCTCCGGTCACAAAGAGGCTTGGCCTCTCAGGACAGCCGATGAGAACAGATTTGAGGTCACGAAAACAAAACACTAGTACGGCATCCGCACGCTAAATTACCCTGTGAGGAGTACAGCGAAAAGTGAACGGAATAGATAGACGTGAACAGGGACAATCGACTGGGCACTCTCTTACTTCGCATAATATTTAAAAAAAATCAATGAGATGGAAAAGTGAGCTTTTTTACTTTGTTGGGAGTACAAGCCTCTTCTCCTCAATTTCCCCGAAAGGCCTAGACGCTTATCCCAAGCTGCAGTCTGTTTGTTGACTCAAGACTAAAAATCAGGCGAAGGAATACCGTCGGCGTTTCTTTTTGTTTCGTGGATGCGAATACGTGAAAGCACTCACCCTATATTCTCTCTGTTGTGTGGAGGAAGGGACGAATTGTGCTGGTGGGTACTAATGAATGCCAAACAAAGCTTTAAGGGAAGTAACATTGTCTTCATAAATGATCTAGGTCGTTTCATGACTGATTGCCTGGTTGGCGGTGCCAAGTTAAATGTAGCAGCACATTAAATGGTTTTGGTGAAAATACCTGGTGATAACTGTGTTGGAAGCAGGCGTAGTTGAAAGCCTCAACTTTTGCCGGCGCAAAGGAGGAATAAAGCGAAATTGCACAGTTTGCTTTTTTCATCGCTTTCCGATAGTTGCCGTTTATGTTTGAATTTGAAAAATAAGTGGTTGAATTTAAGTAACTACAAGACCGTAATTTCAATCAATTACTTTTCGTAAACTGTTAGGAAAGAGGTAAATTAAATTTTTCACTACCTGAGGAATTACTAAGACTTAGAGTGAGAGGTGTAATGTAAATTAGGGCATATCGCCTTCAAAAGACTGCTAATGACAAAAATTCTAACGGGTATTCTTTAAAAAATTCCGGGAACGCAGTTGCTTGCAAACGTGGTCGGGTGGAAGTGCTGGATGAATTGGAGCAAAACAAACAACGACCTATTCTCGGGTCTGTTTTTGTTTATGCTAATTCTGGGCGTTAGTTCGGCCTGTTCGCCGGTCACACACCCAAACCCCATGGCAGGAGCATTGGTAGGGAGTGTAGACACGGCACGGCGGCACGTTCGAAATTCGGCTGAAGCACCCGGCTTTCGTTCCCACACGGTGGAACCTGTGCGGCCGGCTCCCTGCGCACCTGTTGCAAGAAGTCACGCCAGAACCGGCGCAAAAACTGCCCGATTTTGGACACCTGCAGTTGGAACCTTGAATCTGGAGGCAACTGCTAGTCTGAAGCTTCTTACAGGCGGACAAAAGGGGACCGGGGGGAGGAGTTGAAGATCCCATTCCTATCAAACACGAGTAGCTGGGCTGGTTGGCTTTTTTCATCAGTTAGTAATTACACGCCTGGGATGTCCAGTTCTTACATCCAAGTCACATAGTACCTGTTTTAATTAGTGTGAGATCGACGCCTCCAAGTGATACAATTCACGATGACACTCTAACATAGTACTTTGTTAAAATTGGAGACTTAGGCACTAAAGGTAGGCCTGCGTGCAAATTATCAATCCACCATGTTTATTCAGGCTTACTCACCATCCGAAGAATCGTAGCCCTTGCGGTGTCATTGTCGGCCTGAAGTTTAGTGAGTGATTGTGAGTTTCGGCTGCAAAACTACCTGTCTACGTCGGATCATTGGAGTAGATTCGCTCAAGCGGTTAGGTGTGAATTGGCGGAGAATCCAAGACGCGCCCTCCCATGACTGATTTCGTAAGTACTCAGATCACCCACGCGGTGGCATGACTAGTGTCAATGCGTGGTTTCGCGCGGGCTCTTATCCAGTTGGCTCTAAGGTTGACAGTAGTAAAAAAACCGTCGAGAATATTTGCCTTTGATGTTGTGACAATCTGCCTGGCATCGCCGTGGTCCATTCCTCACGAATGGTCCAGCATCGCAAGGTAACCGAGAGAAAGGCGAATAGCAAGAACTGCTTTAGTTGGGATTTAAACGTACTTCAAAAGTTAAATGAACTGAATCAGGTTAACAGAGGTTAGACGCCAAATTCACCTAACTAGTCTTGCCACCCAAAATTCATTACTTCGTTGCACTCTTGCTAACCGACCTCGTCAGTTATTTTTCGGTGGCGGAAAGCTTTAAACCAGAGATTATCGGCAGAGATTTTCGTCTCATTGGTGGCGCGAGGTGCGAGCGTAAAAGTGCACAGGCTTAGGCCTTGCACGTAGCACAGGCGCGATGTATCAAGCAGGCTCGCTTCGTGCACCATGTCGCGCACTTCGATCACCGAAGGAGGCATCAATACGTGCTTGCATGTGATTGACGTGGAGCAGCACAGCGGCCTCTGCTGCTTCCATCCCTTGAGACCTAGCTTGGGGAGCTGTTGCGTACAGATTTTGCCCGCGGTGTTTATAGCTGGACAGGAATTTGGGCTGCGGGAACCAGACCAAGTGCACCCGCAATCATGATTTATTGCGTGCGGATTGCATACAGGGGTTAGCATAAGATATGTGATCTTCGTGGAATCCCTTGTTTATCCACCGCCCAGATTCGATGAGTAACTTCTAGAAGGCCAGTCGGTGTGTGTGTGTGTGTGTGTGTGGGTTTAATTTGCGCTTTTGGGAATTTGGTTACTGGTTTGGTTTGGCCCATTTTCGAATTAACCACTGCCTTGCCTAACCAATTCAAACAAGCCAAACTGTTAATGTCGGAGGGGGGAGGGCAATATTGGCCCATTTCACATTAAACGCATTCACTGTCGGTGTGCCTCGAAGGGAAATATCTTAGTCATGACAGGCCAGAGAGGAACCGGTTTTACCATGAGTCGAATTCCCCCCAAATTTAAGATGGCAGTGCTGAAATTTCACACACACCCACACACAGTAATGCATTAATAAAATAAATCTCAAGTGGTACACTTGGTGACGCGTGCACGTAGAAACAAGTTGTATCAGATAAGCCGTGTTTAGTACAAGTGGCACCCTTACTACCTGTTTTCTACTAAGAAATGCAGCTGCAATTACTGAGATGAACAATGATTTATTCACCTCTACACAAACATAGGCGACTTTTTGTCAAAAAAACTAGTTGTTTTTTTGAACAAGGCAAAAGAATTTTAATCTCCACCTGTCGGTTCGACTCTGCAAATCTGTAATTTGTGTGTGGGGGTCAACAGCAGTTGCCATCACCATTGATATTTCATCCTAGCCAATTCTCGTTCAGGTGAACCAGCTTCGGAAACAGTTGCACCCATTAACAGTTCGTCTCATGAGGTAAACAGGTTGGTTTCAAATTACTATGGGAAATCGGTAAATTTACCAAACTACGTTATGTAAACGAAGAGCAAGATGTTCACATCGCGAGGTGTCACTGTTGCTTCATTTGCAATGCGATATCGCGTTGAGGAGTGAGTCATTTTGGGAATTTGGTGTTGAAGGAGTGCGTATTTACACAGGGACTTCGTTTAAATATGGAATTCGGAAGAGTAATCTTGGGAAAGCGAGAAACGGATGTCCCACTGATCACAATTTAAGATTAATCTAGGCACAGCATTCGCTCTCGTTTACAGTTTGTGAAGTTTAACCTGTAGACGAGGGTATAACATAAGAACGCCTGGATTGCGCAAAAGTTCACGGAACGCACAAGAGTTGTAAGGCCAAGTGAATGTGCCTCAGGATCATTCTGGTGGAAGGTAGTGTCAGTGGAAGATTGTTGATAAAATTCAGACAAGTAAGGAACTCGTGACACTTCCGGTGGTTACAATGAGGGCCCGTTAGTTAATCACTCTTCGATGGGCGAAAAATCAAAAAAGTTCTTCGGGGAGGAATGTCTTGATAATGACGATGCAGTTTCGTAGTTCCGTCTGGCCTTATGTAACCCTCCCTTTATATTCGTTTGGAGTTCCTTTGGTGATCAGGATAAAGATCCCGCAGTGGCCTGCTTCATAGCCAAAGGATCGGCATTAAGTATTTCTGATAATGTAATAATGCTGAAGAGCGGAAGGCAAAAATACAAAATTCTATAAACGAAAGCTGAAGGATTGGGTGGCTGTAGAGGTTACGGATTGCCACATACGAAGTGAGTTAGGAGCTGGCTTGATGAGTCAGATAAAGAGAAACAAGGTGCACCGGAAGATACGAAAAAAGGTAGCAAGAGGAGACAAGGAAAGAGCCAAGAATGATCCCCTTTTTGAGAGGTAAATAAATCTTTTCGAATAATACACTGGCGTAGATAGGTGTGGATTGCAGCCATCCAACTTTTCTGTAACTGATCGTGGGTATCGGGTTTCGGTGACAGACAAGTCCACATTCGCTGGTGCGCCGCGCCGCGCCGCGATGCTCTTATCGAGGTATCAGTTTACCTCTGTAGAGGCGCCCTCGATTCACATTTCATTCACAAGATAAGTGCTCCTAAATTGCCACTACCGCAAACAACATAACTCCAAATGCTAGGAAACTATGCCAAGGTTCAAAACGCTTCTTACCCAGAAAATGCACGGGTTAATGGCAGTTTTTAATTATGCGGAAGCACTAGCAACACATCGGTCATCACGGTGCGCTAGTGTGGATGTTTAGGCAAATTTTGCGCTATTAGCTTTCACTCTAACCTAGCTGTCCAATAAGGAAGCGAGTTTAAAGCATCACATGACATTGTATCAAAGAATTCACATGTTTTAACAGTGGTTTGTTATCGTTTGGGGGGTCAAATTGAAGATTTGACATAATTTTGGACTCTTTATCTAAAGAGCAGGTTTTCGCAGTGTGTGCTTTAAAAAGGCACTGGGTGCCCACGTGGGCAAGAGTTTAGTCAGTTTTATACCCAGCCGTCAAATCCTTTTTGTTATCCTGATGTCGAGGGTGTTAAGAAGGTAATACTTCTCTCCAATCACGCTCGAATCGGAACAGATCGATGGTAGAAAACAGCCTTTTCAGCACACGGCCCCGCGGTGTTTGAATGAGAGCCAAACTTTTCAAACCTGTTGTTCGCGCCAAATCGTGGTAAACATTTTTTGAATGTGATTGTTAAATGTCACTCTAGCACCCTAGGAACGAGCCTCTAGCTTGTTATTTCACACATGTTGATGCAATGCATCTTCCTCATAAAGCTCCCCTTTCTGGACAACTTTCAAAATCAACCCCCCCCCCACCACCCACAATTACATGATCAGTCAGAGCCCGAATCCAGGATGGCAGTGTGATTCGGTGACAAGCGTTTGCGGATCGTGTCTGTGCACGCAGTAAGGATCGTGTGAACGGGTCAGTAGGACAGTGGGCTCGACTGCCACACTGTGCAAATCACACGAGAATATCCGCTTCAGCCTGAATCCATTCACCATCACCAAAAAGGCACGAACACTTCTGTCGTATTTTATCGCCTTCCTGGGCATAAATCTGGATTGCACTGTAAAACCTAATGGCAAATCAGCAGTGATTGAAGGAAAAAATACAGTTAAAGGTCAAGCAAATCTTAAAGCTGGTTATTCCATCTGCCATTCTTTCGTAGGCCCTAGATAGCATGGCTAGTGGTTTTATTCATCCTGATAACTACGATAGACTCGGGCATAAATCTGGATTGCAAATCAGCAGTGACTGAAGTTCTTTAAAAAGGGGACGACACTTTTAACAAACGTTGGTATCAGAAGCTCGTGGTAATTGTAGTTGGGAGTTATTTCCTGTGGCTGTGAACAGTACTAGTTACATCATCGTCGGGATGTTTGTTAGTCGGATTAATAAACCCAATTGAAGGTGACTAGAACTAAGTTAATTCAACCTTCGCTTAAACAAGGCCAGGTGCGGTAAACTGTAGGCCAGTTCCCCAATATTTTAATAGACGGAGTAATACAAAGAGTTTGGACTTGGGACAACTTGTTGTCTTCCGAACTTTGCGACCACAGCAAGACACTGCCACGACTGACGACCAAAGCAGCAGGCCCTCTCCACTTTTACGCAGTGGAAATTACGCACACGGTCGAAAATGTTGTCGTGTGGGCGATAGAAATCGACGTCAGATGACACGGAACGTCAATTCATCGCTCACGGAGACGCAAATGGGCTGTTTAGTGCTGGCTTGTCATTGGGGTAGTAGGGCGGGGGAAGGGGGTGAACGTGCCCAGAGGGAAGTGGGTGGGGAAGTGGGAGGACAGTCAGCGTCAAATGATTTATGCCACTTAGCACGCGCGCTCCGTGTTTTTTCCCACTGTGTTTTTTGCGTTTAGGCTCCAGGACCATTTCATAAGTAAGGAAAATTAAAGTGGCCATTCGAACCTCATGCGACGATTATGAATTCCGGGACCACTCGTACACCATCGGGCTCATTCACTCGGCACCCATGAACCTGATTTTTTTTAATGATTACATTTCCTCGAACAGATGGAGGCGTGGATCTTTGATCCCAGGTCTATCGTGGTTATCAGGATGAATAAAACCACTAGCCATGCTATCTAGGGCCTTCGAAATAATGGCAGATGGAATAACCAGCTTTAAGATTTACTTGACCTTTAACTATATTCTTTCCTTAAGCCGTTACTTGGAGCCGTCTGCCGGCCGCTGGGCAATTTGTCATTTCACTGCAAAGAGAACTCTCCTGCCATCTGAATTAGTCTGATTTCTGTCAATAAAGGTCTGGGGAGACACGAGTTGGCGAAATTGTGAGGCGACGCCTCACAGCCAAAACACTTTAGTTACTGGGGTGCGTGAACAGCAACATAAGCTCAAGAGCTGTTATTAGAAACGAGTAGTATCGTTCTAATTGGGAGGCACTCGGCATTGTGCATGGATTTTTACTTTCATGCCCTGGGGATAATTGCGATGTTGATCGGCGTCTCAGGCTCAAGCTACACTATCTCCTGGCAATTCCACCACAAACCGAATGACGCCTTTGGCGTCAGTATCACTGACCGTGCGGTCTTTTTGTGCAAGTTCTTTTTGAGAAGGTGTTTACAGTCTCGATCTGATTTTTTTTACTTATTCGGACTTGGGCGAGTCTTGTAAGGCAAAGGCACCCAAACTATACGTTGCTGAATCAACGCCAAATGCAGTTTTGTCACCTTTGAAGCATAGTGGACAAAATCAGCCGTAGAAACAGTATACACTTTACCGGGAATACAAACCGGAGGCAGTGACAACTAACACGGCCTGAGATCTGACGCGTTAAAGTCTAACGCAAACACCAATTGTGTCTATCACAATGCCAACGGTATGCAGTTAATAATATCGCGATTGCTTAGCCTTGTGTCTTCCAACAAGCATCAAATCCCTTTTGTTACCTTCAAATCGGCTTCGGATTGGAAGCCACAAGGTCAAGGCGGGCGGACAGAGGCTTTGCTCTACTTCCCATTACCGCCTATTCATCCTAAATTAGTCGTATAGCTTGGGCTTACAACAGTGTGATGTATTTTGCATTTTTTTCGGTTCCGTTGGGCGGCGTCTGAGTGAGTGCAGCAACTGGGTGTGGCGTGAAGCGAGGTGGTGGCACATCCGCAGCGGAGAGTCGCCACTCGCTGAATGATCTCCGCGTCATTGGAAAGGGTGTACTTTTTCACCCAGGCAAGTAATGCGACACCGGAGCTTGAACCTCGTCAGCTCAGTTTCAAGACGATGACGACCTGAGCTGCTGACTGATCTCGCTCGGCGCTAACGTGGAAATCCGATTTAACGTGCCAGGTAATGGTAGATCCATCGCAAAGCATTTGAATACATGGTTCCGATTCCTGATCAGATTATGGACATGCGAATATCAGTAGACTTACTAGCCGAGACTTTGTTTAAAGATTTAAAAAGATAGCGGCCTTGCAAAAACACGTTGATACTCTGGACGTGAGTTAGTTGACATTCTTAAAATGAACAAGAACATCCTGAAAGACAACAGCTTAAGGTTGAATTGTCGACGTAGACATCCCTGATGACCTTCAGACACCGTAAAAGATATAAAAAGGGGATGTGGCTGCTGGAGAAACTAAAGGAGTTTTATAATTTGTCATGGGAATTGAGAGGGCTCTGGCGTTTGGTCACCTAATTGGGTATCGAATGTCGGTGAACACTGTCAGGGCTGGGAACCATGGAGATGGCACAGTGTTTAAACAGTCCTGGCCTCAGTCAAACACCCAGATGCTATTCGCATGATGGAGGTTGAGGCATATGTGAGGGTGCTTTGACAGCTATCAACTGACCATCATCATCCTGGGTGCGCTGGGAATGCGGCAGACCGAAGATGACAGCTACATGTCAGATGGGCAGATCGAGCGTAACACCTCATGCATTAACCATTGGATTAGTCGACTGTATCCTCCCTGGTTTGGTGGGAGGCAGCAGTGGTTACAACAAGAAGCAGTCGGTACGAGGGTGGCGAATTCACCAGTCATACTCGTGCCTAAGAACTGAATGCGAAGGTTCGCCTGATGTATCAACTATTAAACCAGGCACCAACCTTGACATAATGACAAACTCCAGGTGTTTGCATTCTCTGATGCCGTCCAAATCGCTCCAAATCTCCGATAATACTTCATTCCCTCTCTCTCTTTCTGAGTGCATTGGTGTGCGAAAGGTATAAATATTTATGTACGACTAAAAACGCGTCACAAACTGAGCCGATCCGTTATGATGTGCAGCTTACTTTCGATACATTTTTTGAACTTTTAATTACTGCAAGAAGCTTGCGGCCATCACTGTGATGGGTTAGAGAGCTAAATTTAAAAAAAAATTACCTTCCACGATGTTTCAACGAATCATCGACTTACATATATCAGTCTCCTTGACTTGGTTGCAGTAAATAAAACCTGCTCAGGTTTCTAAAGCAAATTTTAAAAAATCATCTAAAAGCAATAAGAATTTGAGTAACAGAGGCGCCGAGTTGCCTATTACGGTTTGATAGGAAAAAAATGTTGAAAAACGCAGGTGTACGATTAACTATTGAACTATTTAAGGGCTTTCGACAACATCCCTAAAAGTGTTGCTGTTGTTTTGACCTTGTTATTCCTGTTGTGGATAAATTCAGTGAGATTCTGTTGTGATTTTTCAAGTGTGCGCGTGTGTGTGTGTGCGTTAATTCAAAGATACGAGGCAAACTACTATAGCAAATTGAGCCAAGTCAGAAAAGAAAGCGAATAAGATACGATCAAATTCTGAACGAGCATAAGTTAGCACTAGTTAGAGAGTTTGCGGATCAGTGTGTTCCGCTTACTCCAGTTGGGTCTTTTGCTGTGATCGGTATATTTTTTTTTAGAATTTAAAAAGCAAACGTTTCACGCGAAAGCCAATCAAAATCACACCGTTTGATGGGAAATTTTTATTGTCCTTCTCTTATCACCAATTGGGTCATAGAAGGTGTTATATCGGCAACGTCGTAACGTTTGCGGTAATGTACAGGTAGGTTTACCAGCATCGTTAATTATTGAGGAAACTGTTCACTCCGGTTAAGTTACTCTTCTTACGATCAGTGATTTAAAACATCAACAGGAGCATGTCCATCAAACCTGTCTCTGTTTAATGGACATTTCTGCAAAACGACAACATGTCTGTGTTAGAGGTCGCATTTTTGGATAGTGAAGATTGATTACTTTCGCCGATTAGATTCGAAATTCATTAACGACTTTCACAAATCACGCAGCCGACGAAGTACGGATGCATCCTCGGTCCGAGGCTGGTTGATCCCACACTATACAGTCAATCAAACGGTTTAAAAAGATGCGCAGGCTGGTAATAGAATGGGGCAGACTCAGTATCGTTACTGAGCCAAGGCGAGGAAGACACATTTCCGCAAAATTATTCATTGCTTGACAACTGATGGTAAGTTGTGGAGGAGGGGAGAACGCTTGGCCCTGGAATTTGTCATTTTGTTATGCCTTCGTGGATTCCCTCAAAAGACGCACCATCGTCTCCTCTTCCAATCCAGTTGAATCGTTCAGTTTAAAGATATCGGTGGGTAATGCAAAAAAGTTGCTACTGAGGCAACGGGGTTTTAGTCGGTAAAATGGTGGGCTTCAGGGACTTTCTGCCATCTAAGCCTTGTGTGTAGGAGAGACGCCTGACGATATTCCGAGTGCTGGCGTGATTGGGACGTTTCGTAGTTAAACACCAATACACTTGCCCCGTGCGTATCTGCTTAATTAGCACGCAGAATTAATCTGATCAGATTTTATGAATTATACAAACCGCGGTTAAGGCAGCCTTACAACAACCCCACCGGACTCTGTATTAGAGGGCAACTGGAGGATTAACTGACAGAGCATTACGGCTTTACTGTGCAACGTTACACAAGTCTATTTTTTCTCCCAGGCTGTTCAGCGCGCGTGGGATAGAACGGTGGCCAGAGAAATTGCAACCCTAAAAAAGCGAGGAAGAAGAAGAAGTAGAACTGACTTTTATTGTTGTGTGATGCACACAGATTGGCCGGACATTTAGCGATAACATGAGAACCTGAATGCCCCGTTAATGGCAAACATCCCACCCCAGTTAAACAGAAAATGTCAAACGAGAGGAATTTGGCAAGTGGTTCAGTGAAAAGGCGGATCGTGTGAATTTGCCCAGTTGTCGTGTTTATGCATTCGAACGGAAGCGTACATTGATGCTGACACCGATGATGTAAACCATTTATCAACAAGGGTACAGTGAGCCTGAAATTAATGCCTTGTCATTAGTCGCGCCAATCGCAACGCTAAGTTGTTCAGAATTAAAACTAACCATGGCCCAAACTGAAGGACGTCGTTTTGTTTAGGTGCTAGTAGAGAAAAGTTGGCAATTTAAGGTGGCCAGAGGGCATGGCACAGATGGATAGTGGTGGCTCACAAAAGCCCACAACACGCACCCCTCCCCCCGAGTTATCTACGGTGGTAATCTTAGAGACGCAACGATAAGAAGCTGCTGTCGGCCTGCCCCGTTCTCTATGTCACCACTTTCAAGGTTGTTGAAGTGAATGGAACCGGATCACTGGACTAGAAACGGCTACTTTTGAGCTGTGACCAGCTCGGGTTGCCGTGGCTAGTCTAATTGGCAGCCCAAAAACCTTAATTCGAAGGATAGACAAGAGCTCTTAGTGGTTGGTTGAATGTCTTCTTTAGTGAAAGAATGATGAATCACTCACACTCGTCATTTAACTCATTGAGTCAAGAGCATTTGCCACACCAAGCGCGTCATTATTGCATAACCTCAAGCACTACCAATCCAATGGGTGAACTACAGTGAACGACATCAGGTAAACATTTCAAGAGGCGGAGAATTCACGCCCTGTAGAGGGACTTGATAATCCAATCACACCACTTCACTCATCCAAACATGTTTTGAGCCTATCCAAATGCAAAGGAGGCATGGTAGACGCCTATGTTTTCGCCCCTCTGCTAATCACTACATCTTCCACCGGCGACGGCCATGCACATTGCTTATATTGAAGTGCTAGAACAGCAGCCAACCACTAAGGTCACCACAGCGTAGTGATTAATCATTGTTACCCGCTATCAGGTACATCGTGACCACGGCGGAAGGGGAGGCAGGCGCCAAAGATGGCGCATCGATGAGTCAGTTAGTGAGGAGATTTTTTCCGCTTCTGATGGGTCCTGAGTTTGAGCACAGTCAAGGCACCCCGGATCCACCGAAATTGAGTAAGCAAACGGTGCAGCAGTGGAAATCACGGGGTCTCCGGTTTTGACACCTAAGCATGTGAGACGCACCAACGAAGTAGTGATCTTCTATTAATGTTTCAGCTTAAAATCATCAAGGATATAAGGTCGGAAAGTTGACATCGGAATATGGAGTCAAACAAGAATTAAAAAGGGGGTTCCCCTATACGTAAATTCGTTTAAACAGGCACTTCGAGGGAATGTGCTCTTTCGAGCACCTACGTGATCCGTAAATTCGAATTACAGCGTATATTTGGCTATTTTGTCGTGTAAAAGTACTATTTCTGTCTCCAGGTGTGGACAGGATAATTGAGTACCCAGCTATCCAACTGTAACCATTCAAGTGCGGATTCCGTGTGACCCATCAAAGCCCGTGGTGCCTTTGACCGACTCCAGACTGTCTTGCCAACCTCCTGCTTTTCCTCACATTCAGAGATTTCGACCTCAAACCATCCGAGCACAACCAGGTTCGTCTTGATTTGGTTGTGAATTGCAGGAGGGTTCCAGGTGGGCAAATGGCTCCATTACTTTCATGTGTATGGATTCGAGAAGGGTTATACGTCCCTCTCTCAAAACTAGTCACCTCTGTAATAACGGTTCGAATAAAACCGGTTTGCTTGTCTTACGTGGATTGAGATTACTCAGGCGACATGGTGGCAACCGGTGCTGCTGATTATGCTGGCGTCGAATGTTTTCCGTGTGTCAGAACTAGAGCAGGTTTTCTTCATGTGAAAATGCTAATTACAAATAATCAGACTGCGACATGGGTATGTCTCAGTGTTCCAAAGCTAATTATCTAAAATTTATTGTTCACAAGATTAGATACGGAAAGCCTGCTTAAACAGGCATCCCGAACCCGGTGGTTTGAGTGGACATCCAACCACTTTTTGGTTGTCGCCAAATTTCTCACCAAGTTAGAGTGAAGAGGCAACGAAATCACCGAAATATCAAGATTGTTTATGTTTGGATTTGACGTGCCTTGAAAGGGGGGGGTTCGCTACTGTTCTACAGGAGCGCGTAAAACCGTGATTGTGAGAGGAAGTTAATACCCAGGGCAATGTAACCACCGTTATTTGTGTGAAGGCTCAGCTCGTGGTTGATAGTCGAATCGGGACTAAGGCCACTTTGTCAGCAGTGAGCAGATCGCGGCTGAGTATACCCCTGTGCCACCTAAAAGGCTTATCCGTAGTTACTGATATGCTCAACCAGATCAAAGTAAAGGACAAATCGAATGACCTTCATTTTTCAGAATTTCTGACGAATTCAAGGACACGAAAGACTACCTTGTCATCAAGACACCGGTCCAGCTAATTCACTATGACATGATATTTCACAACTATTCTATCTAGGAAACTATTTTGTGCCACTTAAATATCCCTATTTCAGGCCATTCTCCGACCCTACATGTTCCAGAACCTGCCCTGTCCTGAACCCTAACTGAATGCTGAAGTATTTTAAACGACAAAAGCTAGGTTCGAAATCAGGCAGTTTGCGGCCATCACAACCTAGAATGTTGCAGGAAGTTCGTAGACGTGTAGGATGGAGTTACACTTGGCGATAAAGGTGCCATTCGGGAAAGACGCTTTTGTTCAAACTCGCTACGTTTGTGCGTATGTGTGTGTGTGTGTGTGTGTGTAGGTGTTCATTCGCAATTTATCTAACTCTTTCCAGCTAGATACGTATAAGCGTATCAGCGCATCCCCCAGTGAATCGAATAACCGTTGGGCATGTCTACTGCCTTTTTCTTCGTGTTTTTTAAACGAGCGAAAATCCAAACCATGGCTCCTGATACCGCAAAATTTATAAAATCCAGTTTAAAGGAAGCCGATAGGGACGCCTTAGCAGGCAATACATAGCCCACATCGCCTTGCACCTAACATCGTCTTCACCATCGTTTTCTCCTTTTCCTACAATGTTCAGACATTTACCTGAAAATTATGCAAGTCAGGAAGGTACAAAGACCTTTTCGTCGCTACAGAACATTTGCTACTGGCTCCTTTATTTTACCGACAACCGACCGGAAAAACTACATGCGCTGGTGGCGTAGAGGCACTGAAAAAAAATTACCCTTGCAGTAATGTGGCGTGTAGGAGAGTACAGTCACGGTTTTTCATGCGCAATAGTGAAGAGTTGTGGAGAAAATGCAACTCCTTGAGGCGCTAGTATGAGGCCTGCGTATTCTACAAGCGGATATCTGAAATTTCTGAATTCACACTGGTCCTACGGACTTTCGTGCGCAAGTCTGAATGAGCGCCACTTCGACTCTTTTTTTTATAAAAAGAAAACGTAAATTACAAGAATGCTTTAATAGTTTCACGGGAACCTAGGTTAGACTTAATGTAATCAAACCCTCAAATCAGGGGATTAAGGAGTCAAAACGGCTTCAATTCCCCACATAAATAATGTTCCTTCCCCTTGTTCTAGTTCACCCCCAGAACAGTGGATCAAATTATTGAGAAAAGCCGTGTACTCACTTTTCTCAACCTCTTTCTTCAAAACACCACAAAAACGATTGCAGAGGGTAGCCGGCGCGCTACTTGATACGAGGCGCGACGGAAAACCCAGTGGCTGATCTACGGATCCCTTAGTACCCTGTCCAGACCCGCTTTCCAGACGGCGGGTCTAGCTCACCTCGTCTCCTTCCCACGAGGACCCAGTTAGCAGCCAGGGCTAGAACAACAATTACCCCCATCCGCCTCGACGTTGTCAGCGCCGATGTCTGGATTGCTCCCACCGCCACCACCACCACCACTCACCCCCGAACGTCACTATATCGCGCGCAGCTGTTTGGCATTCATCTTGGCTAGGGGTGATGACGAGGGTCTCTATCTAGACGCGGAAAATGATAACCGTCCGCCGCGCGCACACACACTGTGGCCAAAGGGGGGTGGAAGGGTAGGTAGGGGGATGAGGAGTGGGGGTGAGGGGCAGGTTACTGCGTTGCGAAGGTAAGCATCTGCGTGAACATGCATGGCTGCCGTGGCGTTTTTCAAATGTCAATGTAATGGCGGGATCAGTATAAAATATTCCCATTTTGGGAAGTTGGGTCATTCAAGTAGGCTTGTAAAGAAGATCCGAGCGATGACATTTGCACTTTTCGCACCCTGGAAATGAAGTTCGGTTAACTGGAATTCAAGTTTGGCAGCTTTCGTGGTCATTGGGCTCGAATTAAGGCATCCCACGCAGGCAATATTAGGCGAACTGTTATTTAAGTCGTGGTATCGTTAAGTGGTAGAAATTTTAAATGGAAACCAATTTCGAGGCATAGATTTACAACGATGTTGGAGGTCTGGACGAGGCACGAGTGACCCACTGGGAGTCGGTGCAGTGGAGAGACGGGATCGGTAAGGCGTGCTTCGAAGTGCTGCAGTGCTCAATGCGTGTTGTGCTGAAGGCTGGGTTACCTGACGCTTGATTTCCACATTCATGCCATCAATACATTAGGTAAAATTAAAATCGGTTTTCCAAGGGGATTCCTCAAATTTTAGGCATTGTGGTTGTTGGTCACACCATCCAGTAGACTCAGAGATGCGCTCCTGGTACAAAAATCACCGACCAGATCATTTGTGCAGGCTGTACTGATGCTACACTTCCGCTTCGGCCCAGCAAGGGGGGAAACGTCTAATGGCCGTTTTTGGCCAAAATTATGCACAACACAGGTTGTGTGCGTGTGCGTGTAAAGGGGGTGGGGGTGATTTTAACAAGATCGCGGCTGGAACAGGGTCGGTAAAAGAGTACCAATAAAAAGGCCCCATTTCAGTGCACTGGCTAACTGGATTTAAGTAATGCTAAACACGACGTCGCTTGTACCCCCTCCAGGTGGCTCGTAAATAGTCAAATGACATTTCGCCAGGACTCGTCTAAAAATAATGGTTTCCATAAAAATTAATTGGCATTAGGGATCTGCACGACAGAGACGCGGTTGACCCACAACTGCTACGGTTGAGTGTTGGTCATTGACGCTTCGGTGCATGATGATGATGATGATGCACGCGAGTGCCTGCAATGAAACGTGCGGCTTTTAAACTTATTTTGGTCGGGTTTTGTCGGATCTCGACGTGTTACTGGGCCAGTGATCTGGTTTGTGCAATGGCCTGAGCTCACTTCTGCAAGAGCACGAATGACTAGTGAAGGAGAGAGAGAGAGGAAGCTATTTTGAAGTTAGGAAGAGGGGTCAGTGATTTGAGATTGAGAGTTTGGCATGCTAGCATCACCACTGGCGCCATCTGTGCTCGCAAGAAATGAGCCCACTCGACTCGCAACATCTGCCCACTGTCCCCTGATGAAATGCAATGTGAAGTTCGCTGGGTTGACATCAGCTCAAATACTGTGTGTTGACTTGACACAATCACCGACATACTCTGGTTTTCATTGCATGAACTTCAGCGTTTTCATGCATTGTTGAGGCTGAACTCTGCTCCTGCAGAGGCCATCGCAATCTTCGTGTCAACAGGCGCTGTCCCCTTTCTATCGACAGGCGCTGTCCCCTTAGGGTGCTTTCACATGTGTCATAACCCCTTTCGACGATGTCAGCACAAACAAATTTATGCCTTCAAACCACAAAAGCCTCTTCGAAAAAGCACGACGTAGCCGTCAAAGAGGCCTGCAGAGCGGTGGTGTGCACAGTGCATACATGTGGGGCCAAAAACACGCGAGGTTATTTGCGCAGTTTGCGTTCTGCAAAGCAACGCATCGGTGTTTTCTACTGTGGTGCCGTGAAAACTAACACGGAATGGTAATTTTGCAGGTGCAGCTAGCCACTGTTTAGTCAAAGCCTCAACAAGACTAATTATACCGCGTTTATCTTAAGATAGCAATGCCCTGATTACTGTACAACCCACATCTTGCTAACTTCCAGACCTGACGAGTAACCTGAGAAATTACAAATTTTCCATTTTGCCAAGTAGCTTGGGGTTAGTTGGCAATTCCTTCACCACTAGCAAGGGAACTGATGTACGAGGGTGCTTCGAATGCGTGTCGTATTAATTTTGTTGAAAGGCGGCCTTATTCCTGACCGCTGTCACCTCGGGCTCCTGTAACCGTTGGCTACGATTTAACTGGCAAAAGGAGTGACTCGTTCTAGAGCAAAACCAATCACAGAAGATAAATCGAATCACGGGAAGAATCGTGCAGTAGACAGGAGATGCCACGACATCGTGAAACCTTCGGACGTCAAACTTCGACTTGGGACTAGAGCAACTGAGGGCGAGTTGAAGGATTCCTAAGGGGACTGTGAAGATTTAGCAAGTTCTCGTGGTAATGAGATTGAGTTCTTGCCTGTGATAAGCTTAAATGAAAATAGCCGGTCCTAAGTGCTAATGGCAGACTAATGAATAATTTACTGTCAGGTGGCTTGCGTTTCACTGCCAAAATCGGTCTCATGTGATTGCTTGGCTCTTCTCTTGAATAATTTGCCTTCAAGACGCAAATAAAGGTCAGAAATTACGATAAAAACCACTGTCAAATAAGTCGCGGGATCGTGATCTCCAGACACAATATTAGTTGAAGTATTACTGGTTACGCATATTTTTAACTTTAACAACACAATTGTTTCAGTAGGATTTGTTGGATGATCCCAGTCCGAGAAGTGGATCAGTCTAGGTTAGAATAGTTCCTTTGCAGTACACCCGAGGCGTGAATTAGTGGAGGTACGAAGTGGTCATCATCTTAAGTCATCACTTTTCGCGAAGTTAGATCCGATAGCAGTGGTGCCCAAGGAAACAAAACTCATTTCGTGGGTTTTCCTGAACGCGCGAATCGAAACTTAGCAGTTTTAATCGAGTGCAGTTAGCAAGCCATCGCTGAAGCAATTGTCGGTGGCATTGGAGCGAAAAAAACAGCCAGCTGGAAAGTTTTATTCCAGAATACATGCCAACTGCTGACGATTCCCGCACCAGAAACCACAGTCAATGTATGGGGTAATTTCGAATCGCACACACAATGATTTATGTGTACCTACTCGAAGGTGTGCTTTTTATGCAAAACTTTATGATATTTTAACAGGATTGTTATAGCACGTGCGAAAATGCAGCAAATGTACATGCATGTGCACAAGTAAGGAAGAACATCACGATTCTGTCGATTGCCGTTCGTTCGAACGGCGACCTGGGCCTCCGAATGCCCTTGGGGGCCATCTGTTTATCTGCGTATTTAAATGGCAAAAAAGAGGAATGTGTGGCTCAAACAACTCTTTAAGGCGAAAAGAGGGGCTTGTGAGTTTTCACTTAGCAGCTCCTCTAATGATTCCGCGATATTGCGGTCCCTTTCTTAAGGCCTGCTAGCGTTTCAATACACTTTACTGTTCTTCGAAGGAGATTAATCGAGCGTTTTACTTACTTCAACAAGGAATTACTGCATAAAACGAAGAAGTTCTGTGTAAAATGCGATATCGGATTCAGCCTTAAAGGAAACGTCGCAGCGTAAAACTGCTGTCACGTTTGTTTTCCGTGGGTACGCGAAATGACCTTCATCAAGCTAAGAAGCTAACGAACAACGCTGTGATCACATGACACCATCCTGATGCACTCGCAAATTTATACAGGCACTCGCGATACCTCGGAAACGCCAGAGACGCGAAAACGGTCGAATTTGCTGCCACTTAGGCTGAGAGTAGGCGTTTACGAAGTTGAAAGTCCACACTTTTACGAACGACTGTCTCCGTAATATTCAATGCTGCGGTTTGCCTTCACAAAACTCAAGAGACCACATCATCTCAAGACTCGCTTGAAGATAGCTTTTCTCAGGAATAATAACGCATGCCAAGTTCGCTTGGGCTGGAATATGTGACATCAAAAATGGTAGTGTCCTAGAGTATCAAGTAACGGGGACTTGAGGTCTTTTCACAAAGACACCTTTTTTCCCCAAGTTTGCTAAGCCTAAAATGTGGCCCGTTGCTTCATCCTAAGTGGAAAACTCCGCTAAAAAAGTGGGTTTGAGGTTTTTCACGCTCACACGAAAGGGGCGAGAGTTGGGAAATCTCGAAAGGACAGGCCAGCCGGGGCTGTAAGATCTCGATTCCCCCGGTCCCCAACCCCCGCCCGCTTCCGAAACGACCGACCTGGTCATCACTAGGATCCCGGACCCACCCAGTTAACATTTTAAACTAAACACGATCATGAATGCCCCCCTCCCCAGTTGAGTTTATGATCATTAGCTGATGTCATGAAAGGGGACTCCCATAAAACGATAAGGGTATGGTTTTCAAAATCACACTTCTCTATTAGGGTATAGCTTAGAAAATTATACTTTTTATGAGTTACAATGATCCTGTTCCTGAGGGATAGTAACAGACGCAGCCGGAGCAGACATGTACTAAGTCTTACGCACTTCCTTTAACTCCTCATTGGCGAACGGTAAATCCCTTCAGAAGAACATGTGAACAGCAGTGGATACAAAGGCAATTAAACACAATTTCCAAGTAAATGGATTTGTTGCATTTGAAAACATCTGATAGACTTGGGGCATGTTACTAAAAGCGCAATTCTAACGAGGGTGCCAGCCAGTACTTTTCGGTAGTAAAGTTCATATTAGGGGAGTGTGATGCAGGCCTTCGTCACGCAAAGATACACGTGGTTAACAGGCGTTTTGCACATTTTAGGCTACAGTTCAAACCGCCGACTTGACAAACTACACGGTGGTTCCAAATTCATCCATAAAATCACAAACCAAAATGCCTAACTCCCTAATAATTCAACAAAAAAAGCAAAAAGATGCCAACTAGTTGAAGAGGAAACCGAGATGACCTGTTCAAGAGTCGAATGATATCTCATTTTATCAGGTTTGCGGAATAACGTTATGCTAGTCCAGCCTATATTTCTGAGAACAGGGATTCACTTAGAGTACATGCACACTTAATGCGGTATTGCTCTTTTCACTCCCTTCGCATGATGAATAAACTCCTCGTGTTCCGACGGAATCAATACTGTGTATCCTTTTTTTTCATTTCCGTGATTTGACTTCGTATTCACACATACGGAAATCATTTCCCTAATGAAATTTCACATAAACCCTTGCCGTGATATTGTCTTAGAGGCTAATTAAGCAAATTTCATAGGCGATTTAAGACAATTGCGCCCAGATCAGGCTACTTAAAACACAAATTTGTGTGTGCGTTGGAGTGCGCAGATGTAATTTGGCGCACTGCCAATTTCAAATTTTTGCGCGCGGGCGCACGCACCCCTCACGTGTGTGCGCGCGCGCAACAGTTCTGGCGACAATCGCGTAACTGGTCTCCGTTTTCTCCGGTGGTGGCTTTCATTAAAACACAGCGTTTCTAACGCCTATTTTTGAAACACGTTTTTTTTATACAGCCTCAAGGGTCTGAAGGATAAAAATTGACAAGAGCACACGAACCATGGAGCGGTGATGGCGCATGCGTACACGCATCAATCGTCATACGATTAAATTCGCCATGATAAAACTACCACACGAAGTCCCAATTCTTCCCTATTCTACCCGATTCCAGGAGGTTGCAAAAGAGAGTGAAAGATAACTGGATAACGGGAAATCCGTTGATTCTATTAACAATTAAATGTTTGGATGTGCAGCAAACACCTTCAACGTAAGTAAATTGTCACCTTCAATTGACCTGTACTGTCTCTCCCCTGGGGAAGTTCTTAGTGTCGTCCGTTGTCTTCTACTTCGACGATATATCTAATATCTTGCTTGTTTGTTATCAGAGTTATTACGTAGATTACGGGATTTGGCACTCATTCTGACCTCAACACGGATTTATGGATTTTTCAGCAGTGGTGGGCACGATTGAGCTGTGCATAAAGCAGATGCTATTGTTTTTGATGTGACGGCTTTGGGAGACGCGTTTGGTGGTCTGGTGTCGCCACAACAGTCTGAGGAGAGTGTGTGACGTGATGTCACCCAGATCTCGCTCCTGGAATTGCAGTTCAGTGGAGCTCAACTCGTCACGATATCTCCGTACATCAGCCGACTTTTCTCAAAAGGCAAACCAGACGATCGCCACCCGCCCGCCTCCGCATTCCCCTTCAGTAAAGCGTATTTTGAGCACCACAATAGAGATCTGCCTCTTGTCTGGTGAATGCAAGCACGCATTTCCAATATGGCTGCTGTTATTCTTCTCTATTGGCCAAGAGGAAACACTTATTTTATTGTCGATCAGCTGGGACTGGTGTGCTGTGGCTCAAGGTTCATATTCACAAGCAGACACCCACTCGAGCAAATAACGGCGCCAATTGTCGCAGCAAAACCCTTTACCGATGCTTCGTGAACTTGGAACCGCGTCCAAATTAGTGAACACAAACATCCACATTTGCGCTAGCCACGCCCGGATAATATGGAGCCATGGAGTTATTGAAGTTTTTGTGGAGTAAATCAGGGGCCAGTCGCGGTGGTTGGGTGAAATGAGGTAGAAAAAAAGTGTCATTTGGAAGAAGAAAAAAGGAGGACGAAGGAAGGGAGATGTGGGGGTTATCGATTAGCAGGGATGCGGCGTATCGCGCGCGCGCCGTCCATCGCTCACGCGAATTCGAGGCGTTTTCATTGGGCGAAATGCGTGCACGAGCGACGATGATGCCCCAATTTCGGGAAAAACGGTGAGATTAGTCTCCTGCTACTTGTGCAATACGAAGTAATTGCAGTGGGAACAATTTGGAGCTGATCTTAGCGGTGTACCAGCACAGAAGCAGCCTTGACACTTTGTGTTCTTGGTACATCAGGGTGATAACCTCACGAATAAGGCGGGAAATTGTTGTCAGGTGTCTCCACTTAGGTTTTAGTGAATCACTGAAATTCCCTTCAAACATGCAATACTTTCCTGTGTCTGTAAACTGACCCAGTTTCCGACCAGAATAGAAGTTAAATCACAATTGACAAAAGCACACGTTGAACCCTGCAAACCACACACACACACACGCAATCTCAGGACGCGGTCAGATCCACCAGACACACAGTGTCACCCTTGTGCGCAAGCAGATCAGAGGCAACGCAAGCAGTGACAGTTCTGCCGTTTAAAAATCGCATGAGTTTATTGTCATCAGCTTGCAGGTGGAAATGGTGACCGAATTAGTGGCTGCCGCTATTGGGCGCCAGGGAGTGCTGATGTCATTGCAGCACACACACATTTATTCACCGTACCGTAGTCGCGGAATACTCTCTAGTGCAAGCGAGAACACGCGGCGAGTGTACTTAAGTCCCAACTCATGCCACTTAAAAAAACACGTGCGTGCACAAATCTAGGAAATCCAGGGGTAGAACACGTGGATGCGGAAACCAGGACTCACAGAGAGCTCCACTTAAGAGGTTGTGTGAGCAGATAACACGCGATAAGTAGGATATTTGATGCAAGCCAAATTAGGTTGAAAGTGCCAACATTTTGTTTATTACAATTTTGGTAATCAAAACGCTACTACCAAAATAAAAGTAGAACATGCATCACAAATGCTCCGCAATGGGATGGGCAATACGAACTTAATCGCTACCGATTACCCGGCATAAGCAATCTTGTTAAATTTACGCCTGACTTTCCCCAAAACCACATACGATCAGCACCAAGTTTAGATAATAGCGGCCCATTTAACAGACTGCACCACGTAGGCATTAAATCTGATACTGCTTTGTGGAACTCCGACGATATTAGATTACTGACCATCCTAAAACTGGCTTTTCCATTACTGGTGGTTACCACGGCTACGGCGGGCCGAAGTAACAAAGGGTGCTCCTGCATTTACCCCAACACACACTGCAGAGACTTCCAAAATCTGCGGACATCAAAACCAAACGGCAACGACATGGAAAGTCTGGGGGTAAAAGTACTCAAGTACGACGCTTCACGAAGATTCCATGCAGCACAAGGAAGTGCCCTGGCCAGACTAAGACCGTTTTATTCCTCTGCAGCCGAACAAACCCTTATCTTACCCGGATCAGAAGGCACACACTCACGACGAACCGAAATGCTACTCGATCGTATTGGCTTAGGAGAAACGAAACAAGCCACTGGCTTCACCTCGGCACCCACGAGAGACAACGCCCGGGTTTATGGAGTTCGAAGAGACCAAATTTGCGTTGTGGCAGCGATATTTTAAAAGGTGCTTGGTAGTAGTGCTGCAACAACGAGTGCCAACGAATCGGCAGAATGTGGGTCCCACTAACTTAGCTCTGAGGTCCAGTTTCGGCGTCAAATTGCGGATTTGCTGCTGAAGAAGAAAATCATGACTGCGAAACTCCGGGACACCTAAACGACAACAGCAACGCCCGGGAAAACGATCAATGACAAGTGCCAGGTTACAAGTCAGCCCTAAATCACTAAAATTAGCATTGTCATTATTGCTGGGGCAATCAGCGTGTCCATCACGAAACACCGACATCGACAGATGAAACGCTGCTTACCCCTCCAGACTTACGCGAGCGCGGTTCGTAAGAACTGACCCGAGCTCTGTGGGGTTAAGGTTAAAAAAGAGGAAGAATTTAACAAAACAACTTGGTAAGAGAAAAAAGGGGTTATTTCTTTTTAGAGGCCTTCTTTGACAGCTTTTCGGCCTCTTCTTTTTCCTGAACAAGTCGAATGAACTTCGGGTCGTGTCGGTCCACGTAGTACCCGAAGCGATCTCGAGCCTGAAAGGGAACAGGTGACGACTTAGATGAACACCACAACGGCCGAGGAATGGGGGTAAGAGAAACGAGCAGATGAATTTCTGACATAGGAATGCCCAAACCAGTTTAGCACGCACGCAACACGTCGAAATCTACGTCGTTTTAACAGATCTCAATGAAGAAGTAGGAATCGGCTACTTAATTGGTATATCTGGAAGTGAAGTCGTGCCCGGATCCAGTTCCTGGAATGAATTTGCACCAGACGAGATTAACGAACGCAAGCCGATGGAATATGGCTATGACTGAGGGACGCTAGTAGCTGAAGCTAACCACACTTCGCTTTCATTACCACGGTCTTACACAGATAATCTTACGTCCAGGCATTCAGCTCCAGTTTACTGCGAACAGTGGGACATTCAATTTAATTTGCACCATCACCAGAGACTATTTAGGCTATGGGACTGTTTGTCCTAAAACGAACCTCCTGACGACGTCACTAGACTGAGAATCACCTACACATGTCAATCCACCTTCAAAACGCAAGAACCCTGGTAGTGTAGTGGTACCCGAGTCGAGTAATAAGGAAAAAAGCATACAACACAACTGATAAAACTTCACTGCAATTTGAGGCAAAATTGCCGTCAATTTGCCAAATTAATTAACGCTAAATCACTCAAAATTAATGGGATGGGAGCATAAAGAGTGCTAGAACATCTGAGACATTTTAAAATAGGTGAAAACATTTTCGGCTGCTCTTCGGTGCATGTCTCATCCTATGTAGGCATCCCAAATGTTATTTCCTGCCTTAATGTTAACACTAATGGAGCGTTTTTGGAATAAAAGAGTGCGCGGGCAAAATGTGACCACAGTGAAGGTCACTTAACAAACGAGGCAACTTACATCTTCGAGGAGTTGTCTCTTCTTTGCTTCCAGGGTTTGAGCTTCAAGGGCTTTTTTCTCTTGAGTTGCTCGGTACTTTGCCAACATTTCGGGCAACCGCTGAAGGTTTGCTGTGATCTTCTGAACCCTTAAGCAGTAAATAACGTCGTAAGGACAAAGTTTGGCCTGGCGCAATAATTTCACACAAAGCAGCATTTATATTGATGACAATTTATGAATCAAGGAACTGAACAGCACCAAAAAATCTGGTACTTATTTAAACACTGATTTCAGAAGCAAGAAAATCGAATGCAAAAGGCATAATGAGGTCGTCACAAGTAAGGTATAAACGAGAGGGCGAAATACAATATGACCGTATAAGAAAGTGGATGATAATTCCAAATTCAGCCCACCTTTGCTCCTCTTCCCTCGCCTTCATCGCTATTGCTTCGGCCTGATTCCGCTTGAACTCCTCGATTTCAGGCTCTAGGAGCTTCTTAATCTCCTTTTCCCTCTCTAGGTCCTCTTTGGAGTCAAACAATTCGCAGGGGTTGACACCGCTTGAAAGCCCATAAAGGCCAAACAATCTGCGCTGATATGCATGATGCCGTTCATGGTCATACTTAACAGGCGGAGGCTCTCGCTTATTACGAGAAACAAGATGATGGGGAAGCCTACTAATGTCGAAAGCCTTTAGTACTGGAGGAACGACTTTGCTAGAGGCCCAATCAGCTTCCCACTGCTCCGTAATGGATGGAGCAGCTTTACTTAAGTTGTCATGGTCTGTGAGGTTGAACGGGTTACGCCAACCTGGGTAGTACTTTTTACCGCGATTGGTCGTGCGAAGTAAAAATGTAAATTTCGAACAGGGGGCCGCCGAGCTTGACAGCATTGTAAGAGCGTCACTAAAATAAAAGACACCTTCAATAACATGATTTTTTTACAAAATAATAATAATACAGAAATTAAAACCTTTAATATGACTTGGCCTTTTACAGGGTGAATAAAATGCAAGAAGCAAACTGATTGGTTAAAATAAAATAACATCGCTGTTAAAGAGAAATTCAAACATAAAAATTCTCCTTGAAATGGTTTACCTTAGCATACACAATACTAAAGCACAAATACTATCTCGGTCATTAAAAAGTCAAGGATCAAAGGTTTCCTTTTAAAATCCAACAAAAAATAACTGCAATTCCAGGATCACTATTACACACGACAGAGAAATGCTGAAAGAAAGTTAAACAAAATTGACAGATGTTGCACAAAAAATAAGTGCTTCTCAGTAAAATATACATCATTCTGATATCTTCCACGCATGGTCATTGCGGCAACAAGACCCAGACAAATAGCTAAGCGTTTGGACGTTTTATTGCACAAACAATCTGATGGTAATGACGACCATACAGCTATAGTCTAATTCATAAAGTTAATTGTTCTAAAAAACGTAAATAGAATCAGGTTCGTGCTGCAAAAAGACGTTAAACCTGTACAACCTTAATGCGTATAAGGCCACAATGAAAAGTACATAACTAAGTTCGTCTCTCATGATGAAACTTCACTTTGAAGGCACAAATTCACATCATAAAAATATCTTAGCGACATTTCTGAATCACACTGTTACCACCTGTGTTCACAGAACAAGATTAGGTCCTATGAAGCGCAATAAAACGTGGACTGCAATAGCAAGACATATATATATCTGTGACAGTCTGATAATTGGTCAAATGCCTGCTGGCTGAGACTTTTAGCAGTTGATAGCTATGTCTCAAAATAATTTGTCAAGAATGGTATTTTAACACCAATGATAAAAATTTGTGATGGTATCTTGGTAGTGCTTAAAATTTGTTAGATTCAAAAATAATGTCTCATGTTTATCAATGAAGGCCAGTGTGGAGATATGATATTGGTCTACAATATGTATGTTTGACTTTGCTAATTATCCTCTACAGGAAAAAAATAAGGACTATTTGTAAAGCTTTGATGTTAAATACGAAATTATGTTTTTTGAGTTGACCAGGTGGTAATTCAATGTGGCGGTATTTTAATTTTCGAAATTGGTGATTTTTGTTTGCCTTCGAAGATTGGATGGAAAGCTTGGGCCCCAAGCGCAAAAGGTCAAGATTATGTTTATAGTTTATTGATATTGTGGTAAAATGTTAAGAAATCGGCGTTGCCGTACCCTGTTTATGGGATATTGGGTTATTATCGGTCTGCGCATGAATTTAGGTCAAGCTTTTCTGCTGTGTATTTGTTTTGTCAAATTTATTTGTTAAATTTATGCGTTTTTTCATTAGCCTTGGATTTCTCGTTGTAATAGTTGCTTGCAAATTCTTCCTTCACGGTGTCCTGTTTTTCAGTATTGCATTAACGAATATGCTGGAAAAGAATTTTATTTTGCTCTGTTGGTCGTATGTAACCGAACCGTTTTCTAGACGTCCATTCTTTCTTTTTGAAGTCACAAATGTGAATCGGATCCAGTAGTGTGCTTCCAGGCATTTTCAACTTGCTCTTAACTTTGATAATATTCAGAATCCTCTTTTAACTACTACCTGTATTGTTAAATCAATCCCCCTTTTTCTTGTAATCTAATTAAGCCAAAACGAGCCACTTGTCATCAATTCGAAAAAGTATTTTGCCGTCGGTTCACGCTTTTGTTTGTTACCATGTCCTATGTTAATAACGACATGTTCCTACGATTTATTGATTCGGTTGCATAGATTTGTCACCTGCAGATTCCCGTGCTTTTCCGAATAATGTATTTTGAAATCATTTTAGCTCCTGCGGGGCAGGTGACATACCTCCGTACGTATCAAAGGAGAAGTACACCGCTCTCGCCGATGAGGTAATAGATTTGAATCATTAAACTTTGGAATACTTAGATAAGGATGTGGGAGGACGATTTGCGACACATGTTGCACCGACAACCTTCATCCTGCCCACTAGTTAACGCACATGACGATGCATCTGAAGCTACTTCCACAAAGAAGTGCGGCCGAGTAGGCTATTCTCCAATTCGATTTAACGATACATATTAGGAAAGCCTCGAGGCTCTTACACCTGCCTACGTTTCATCCTTGCGTAAGTTTTGGGAGGGCCTCATGACTAAGGAATCTACACCCCCTGTTCCCGATCGGAAGCCACTCAGAGTGGTTCAGGTAAGTTCTTCACTTGGCGATCTCCAAGCTGTGCATGATCCATGTGTCACTCGGGAGCCCTTCTGTGGTTCGCGCCAGGGTGGATATCCTATTCGTTGCGTAATTGACTGACACACTATAATTACACGCAACTTACTTGTTTACAACTGCCACTGAAAAGCCACAACAAAGGTGTCTCGATCTTCAGCTTGTATCATTGTCCCTATAAAAATCTGGTGCCATCGGCCAGCCCGGCAAACACTTCATTTTTTGCCATTTTAGGCTGTTTCCTCGTCTCCAACAGTGCCAGAATCCCTCGTTCCAACCGAGGTCTCAGTTATTGACGTAAGTTGTAATTGTAAATAGGATCACGCGTTCCATCACGTGGCTACACTTCTTCAATTTCTTAATTTAGGAAAATGCACAAATTGATTCATCGTCCGTGGAAAATCCTGAACTTCCCGTGAGCCTCCTTTTCCTGTGATTCCGTTCGGTTTTATTATTATCTAAGCTTTGCGATTCTTTTTATCCAAAACCACACTCGTAGCAATCGTAGTGGATCTGACATTCTGACTCTGCCTTTAGCCACCCCCCGCGGCCCTCATCGATGAAAACTCTAATGACGCTGACACTGATTTGCCTCCGCCCCCTTCCCTTTCTTGCTCGACAGAAAACGTTCTCTCGAAATCTGCTGATTTTACCGAGTCCCCTGACTCGCCACATCGCGAAATTTACCGTAAGTCGATAACACTCGTGTGACCGCCTACTTACAGCGGTTTTTAAGTTTGTCAATTTCATTCAACCTTAAAGGATATTGAGGAGACTTATCATAATCTGGGTTTTGTTCAGCTAAAAATCGCTGAGTCAGGAAATGGCTCCTTAAACCTAGTTAGCAGGACTTGGTCGTCTGTGTTGCAACCGTAAACTGTATTTGCTTGCAAAACGAAAATCTGAGACAAGACAACGATCTCATGTACCCCAACTGCTCGTAGAATGTAATTTTGTGGAAAGGTAGCGTGTTGGGGGGTCGAAGGTAAATGAGCGACCGCATGAATCCCCGGAACTTGTCCCAGTTTAACTACTGTGACGTTTATTTGGATACTCGTCTAGTCTCTAAAAACATGAAAGTAGACAAATGGTGAGAAGGGGATCGCAAGACGAGGGACTTGCGCTAAAACAAAGAACGTACTCCTTTCTAACGTAGGAATAGGAAAAGTAAGCTTTTAAGGGCACGGAATTTGATTTGTATGCTTTTAACGCACGAATGGCACTGCCTCTGAATTTGTTGAACTCCTATATTGGTCACGAGCACCTTTCTCGCCACCTCCTGGATCCCTGCCTTACCTCTTGATTCTAATCATCGTCTTCATCCCTGAAGTCATGTTGAGATTATTTTGATTATCACCAGTGGTTCTAATCGTGTTCCTATTTTAAAGTTCCCGAGTGTCCCAGTACCACTCAGCCAGTGTCGCACCGGTACTACAGTCGACCACGAATGGGCGCCAGTGGCCACGGCGTCCTGCGCAACTGGCCCAACTCGAGTAATCTCAACCACATTCCCGCCTCACCGTCACCACCACTGCCGCGTCAACGCTCCGTCACCTTTGAGCCAAAACGCGGCTGTGCCCCCGGCGACACCGAGACCGACACAGACGTCTACGAGGCCCTGGACGGCGGGGAGTCCCCGCAGCAAACACAATCCAACCGGTATAAAGACATTGACGGGAGTGAGTGATGTTTTCACAAGCCTTTTTGAACCTCGGTACCGTCGTAGTAGTAGGGGGTGTCGTCATGTAGTGTCCTTCTGGGATTTATTCCGGTAGAAGTTGAGGTATCTTGTCTGTTTCGATAATCGTAATTTGAGTAATACTTTACTTTGTTCGTTAATTTGCCCTCTGTGGCATTATTGCCTGGAATCATGGGGATATAATTGTTTAAACAAAAACCATCACGTTCATTTTGAATGTTGGAAATGACCATACAGGCATTCTTCCTACATGCTTGACTATTAGGCCACTGGCGGAATTTGAGCCCATCGTCTGATGGCCTGCCGTCTCTATTAATGAATTGTAGTGTGCATTGTAATTATAATATGTGGGACTCAATAGAGTCCATTAAACTGCGCTATCACAATTTGCACGGGGGGGGCAAACTTTACGAGCAAAGCAGCCTCTTATTGTCTTTGTTCTTCTTATTTTGTGGTACGTTCTCATCTTGTTTCGTGGTAGAATCATTTGGCATTCTTGAGAGCGCTGCTCGCCTGGCGAATTCAGCGGACCGTCTCAATCGACATCAACGCGCCTCCGTGACACCCCCGTTTGCGGATAGCGCAAACGTCAGCAGCGACAGCAGCAGCAGCAGCGAGTTGCCATTTTCGGACGACGAGGGCGGCCTGTTTAGCGACGGCGGGATCAACTCCGAGCCCCAAGGACCCACAGGAAGGTTGTCTTCAAGAAGTCGAAGGTCCTCAACCTGCGCGGACGGTCTGCGTCGTATTAGCAGAGAGGCCTCCGCTCTCCTCGACTTCGAGTGCCCTCAGACGCCCACTAAGAAAGCCAACCGAGTCTCCCGAGGCAGCGTTGGTAGGTTTCGATGCAGATGTACTCAAGCATGACTGCAACGAGGCAGAAGTGTGTGTTTGTGCTACGTATTATCTTTTTTCAAGCAGTTGTACACTGGCTCGGAATAAACCTAAATTTTATTTCCTCGTAGAACTTGCGTCGGAGGCTGCAGCTGTGCGTCGCCTGGAGCGCATCAAAGAGCTCTCCGATTTGATTGACCAAGAAAAGACATTGATCATGGAATTGAGCAGCAGTCTCACCGAGCTGCACTCTAAGAGGTCGAACAGTAAGCCAGAGAGATCTGCCTCCGCGAGCACTCCGTCTGCACCAGGGGGCGAAGCCGGTCTTGTGGAATTGAATCAAAACTTTCTGTTGGCTTGTAAGGCTTTGTTACCCTCATTCCTTGCCACATTGCTGTGACTAAGGCGTCATTACTCGTTACTTTCCCAAGCCGCCGTGACTCGGTGTCGATTAGTACGCTTTTTTTCCCTGGAACTGCACACAGGTCAGCGTCGTCAGGCTCTGATGGAGGAGCTCACACTGCTCCACAAGGGTTCGCCCGTCCTGGTCCCGCCGATGCGCGGCGAGCCTCTGCGTGCCCGCCTCCAGCTCCACTCGGTTCGCGTGGCCCTCAAACCCGAGCCGCCACTGGCCCCGACCCCCTCGATACCTGGTGGGTACGTGCTCATCGGAATGGGAAAATCGGGTGTCTCCGCGACGCCCTACGACTCCGTCCCCTCTCCCATTGACGGGGGCCCTCCAGTCAAGTTCCACATCCTCGCTATCCTCAGGTCAGTGGCGTTCGGGGTGGGCTCTGTTTCGTGAGAAACTCCCACCATTTTAGTCATACTTGGAATTGTCATCTGTGGTTAATTCCTGAACAGCCTTCCATTTGACACTTTTTGGCGCATGAGGCAAAAGTCGTGTTTAAATACATCTGTGGTAATGCTCAAGCAGATCTAGGTAAAAGCTAACAAGTATGTGAGGTCCTTACGAATGCCCGTGGTCAGCTCTTGCACGGTTTCATTCGCAATGGAAATTTGAGGAAGCGCGGTTACACAATGTACATTTACCAGTGTCACTGTCGCCTTCGCTACGTGGGAATATGGACGCCGGGCACAGCTTCTCTGCGTCTAGGGCCGTGGTGTTCCCCTTTGATTCTGCCCTTTGTCAACCCAGAAACATGGAAGGGTGCTGAAGAGACGACAAAATCGGGCGCAGGCACAACCGTTCATTCAAGCACGGTTTGAACAGTGGTCGGTCCTGGGTTCACTACGAAAAACGATCAAGAGGTGATCCTCTTCGGCGAATTCCTACCCACCATGTCCTTCGTCTACAGCTCCCATGAGCGCCGTGTTTTCACACTGGCTTGGGCCGCACTCCGACGAGGAAAACCGTGTTGTGGGACCTAATGCCTTCTCACGCGATTGCTTCAAGGATTAAGGTGACAACCAGAGAGGGATGAGCGTCGGAAACCGTGAAGCAGTCTTTAATTATTCCGTCTGACCTGCGATCAGTCGCCTGTGCCAAAAATACCGCACAAGCATGGGTACATGACAAGCTCGAGCTATTCGGCGCTTCATTTCATTGTTGTGAATCGTGGTAATATACACACCTCTTAATCTGGTCGCTCCAGCCTCCTACACAGGGTTCCCCTTTTTCGCAGCATGTCGCCAGCCGCGCGGATCCTCAACTCCCCCTTCATTCGCACGAGCATTAATCCTAGATTATCCTCACACCTAGGTCTCGATTTTAGCGCGTGTAACACATACACACGACACAACGACACCAACGTGGTTGAGCTCTGAAGTAAAAACTTCTGTCCACGTCCTCTCCGGTGGTCTTTTTCTTCATCGCGAGTATCAGGGAAGCGTAATCGGGCCAGGATTAATTCCGTGGCCCCGTCGTGGTTCAAGACCACATGCAGCGGACCACAGCGCCATCTGCCAATTTTTTTACTTTTCACACCAGCCGTAATTTTGTGCATTTCTATTTGCACTAATGATTTCCCTCTTCTGGTGGTAGCGTGAATTCGTAGACACATTGCTGGGCTTTAATCTTATTTCGATGTTCTGTGAACACTTATCGCTCGACTAGCTTTGGGTTCGGGTCACGAGGCCTGCGTTCAGCCTCCGCATTGTTGCCTTGTAGGTGCCTTGGTGAAGGACGGATTTACCACACGCAGACGGCGACGCTAATGCGCGTTGCCGACCTACCCTCCGGGTCTGCACGCCCAACGCCCTTCATTGATCTTCTCGCCGATATCGATGTGAGTGGGCTGTTTCAGTTTGCCTATCTTCTCCCTCACCCGCCACCTTTTCTCCTGTCAATCCTCTCTCCTTCCCTCTCCCCCCTCCCTTATTATCTTCCCTCTCCTCTCATTCTCTCCTCATCACCACCCTTCACCTCCTCCCCCTCCTATAATTTTGGATATTCACACAAGTTGGACATTTTTCTGTAGATCGTTCCCCTTAGACCGGATTTCGTAATCTCAATCGAGTTGTACTGCCTAAAGACTGGTGGAGCAACCGACAAACACGTCTCTCGATCGTCCGTGACCAAGAAATCCCAAACACCTACCTTCGCTGATTCACCCGTAGCGTCTACAAAGAAATGTGGTGGATTCCACTTGCCCTTCACCTTCTCCACTCTAAAGAGAAAGAAATACAACATTTCGAGTCACGCGCTCGCCAACGACCCCTCAGCCGGTGAGTGCTTAAACCACTACTTATATTTGCTCTGTAGCATGTTTTAACTAGCTCCCGGATTGTGTTTGTACTATGTGGTGCATTGTTTATGCACGCGAAACGTGGTGCTCGCAAATCTGCCAAGCGAGTGTCTTCTAGTTCGATAAGAGCGCGCCTCATTACCTTTGCCCTGTCACTCTGTCTAGCTTTTGCTCTGCTTTCGTCCGTGAGTCTGAAGCACCACGATGATCTCCTGTTTGGCCGTCTTCCCCTTTCTAACCGGAGAAGTGACGGCGCCGGTGAAACGCCCCCCACTGGAATGCCTCTTTTCCTCGAGGGCCTCCCCAGATCCTCTCCTCTTGCCGGTCCGCTGGGTTTGAACCAGGTGTCTGTACGACTTCAGTCGTCCGTTCTCAAACGCGGTTTCCTGGTAAGTCTTGTGGGTCTCGCGTGGTCTCAGCGGTGGTCGTATTTGGTTTTTACTATCGCTCCCTCCTAGACGGTGTTCGATGAGTCTGGCGGGATGGGCGTGTGGACTCGTTGTTGGTGCAAATTGCTGGCAGACCAGCTGATCTACTGGCGGTACCCCGAGGACGAGGACGCCGTGGGTGTCGCGCCAATCGGGCGCGTGGATTTGCGCCACGTCGTTGCGCCCTGGGCAGTGGAGGCGCCGCGGAAGATCTGCGTTCGTGCCAACACGATCTACATGCGCTCGCTCATAGCCGTCAACCCGAAGTGGTTGCTGGACGGTGAAAAGTCCTCCGCCAGCAGCATTCTCCTCCACGCCTCCTCCGACTACAAATGGCTCGAACAGAGGTTCGTTTTGCTTTCGATGTCCGGTTGTGCTTGCTGGAACAAGGGGATTGTGGAACGCCTCAACGACCAGCAGAAGTATCCACTTCAACGCTAATGAGGGTCTTCGTTTTGTTGTAGGCATTTGATATGTGCGGACACGTGGAGCGAAATGGAGTCGTGGTTGAAACTAATCAACAAGTCCCTCGAGGTCATCCAGCGTTGGATGCCCGAGCACTTCGCCTGTCTCGCCCGCTACGATTCCAAATTGGTCTTCAGTGAACTCGTCTCGGCCAACGTCGCTTCCCGTCTGAAACTGCAAGCCAACTCTTCAAACCAGACCTCCGACTCACCACCCTAGTGCACACTCGTCTTAGCCTCCCTCTACCTTGTTTTACATGCTTTATCGACGTGGCTTGAATTTAGGCCTTACCATTACACGAATTTTATACTCAAAAACGCTAATTTTATTATCAATTGTGTAATTTGGGGTTGCAGGTGCCCTCATGTGGGCCAGTTCCACTGCGTTTTGACGGGAGATGGTCGGTTTTACGCATACATCGATTGTTGGTTTGGGCAGTTATTTCTCACATGAATTTCGCTTAATCACGATTGACGTTTAATCGCTGTAGGTGGCCGCGTTTACTGGTGTAGTAGAGATGCGTGAACGAATCGCCAAGGTGATGCGTTGCAGCTACCACTACAAACCAATTACTGCTAGTCGGCTAGCATCCCGGGAAGGCTTATAAAAAAATTAAGCTGAGAGGTATCATTCACGAATGCATTCAGAAAGGGTGTTCAATTAGCAGAGCATGCTGGCACTTAGTCATGAGATATCCAGTTCAATAGGGAAGTGGTCGCTGATAGTCTTCGCCTAGGAGTATAAAGACGTGATTGTTTGAAGTCAATCATAACTGCGGTGCGAGTATTTAGCTTGTTAGGCTCGTGTCAGGTGTGGTTGTGATTGGAGTTACTGCAGGCGATTCTACTGGGGGAGCAATACGTTCCACAATTGTCCTGTTAATCCGGTTACCTTCTCCTGGTAATCAGAGTAGGGAAATGCATTGCAGGTGGGGTGCTCAGTTTCGTTCTATAATCTAAATGTGTCCGCAGATTTGACCGGCTTAATAGAGGCGTAGGGTGATCAAGTCTATCTTAACCATTTGCGTTCTCGTTTTGGTTAGTTTCAAAATATGCGTCGGGTGTTTGTGGATCAGGCGTGTCTCGGCTTCTTGGACGTTCATTCTACTTGTTTACGATCAGCAACTAGACAATTTGCTAAATCCTCTCTTCCCCCAAGAGTGGTCAGCAATGGAAAATAGCGTAAACGCCGTCACCACGAGGAATTTTTGAAGATGCTACCTACGTGAATTTTATACTACAAAACAGACAAGTTATCGACAAGTTATCGAACTGACTAACCTTCTCGACAGTGAAGTTGTAAGCCAACAGGAAATTAAAGACACCAGCAGAAGAAACACGGCCGATTATTTCAGCCCCTTTGCAAATAAACCTGAAAGGGACGCACAAGCCACGATAAGACATGACGTATCCTTGCGAATTGCGACATTCTCAAGTCCGTTAACCAGAGGAAGGAGAGATTCGTGTCTTCCATCTACACCCCATCGGTGGGCCAATCAAAGGCTCTCACTATATCGACTCCCGATATTAGACATTGAACGATTCTCATGTCGGACTAGTCTCTCAACGTACATAACTGATAAGACCTTCTTAACAAGCATTGACTTTAAAAGTTGTCTCACGAATACAAATGACTCGTAATAAAACTAGGTGAGAGACAGACTACTTCTTGACGAATAGTCTAAACTTGAGTGTGAAATACTTCCATTTACCCAAATGACTTGCTACGGAGACGTTTAACTGTTTCAATTAAACATTCTAAGCAGGCGACAGAAAATGAGTAAATAATCTCCTTCTCCTTCAAAAAATTGCTAATTGTTGGCTAGATTCCAGAAGTGAGCACTGCGAGCCATTTGTAAAAGGCTCGGAGCTTTCAAATAGTTGCGATGATCAAAACGAATCCCAAGTAGCTGTTACCGTGCACCCGTGATTATGTAATCAGCAATGACGACCCACGACTACTGACCTATCGTAGGCGCACTTCGATTTGGCCACCGTAGTGTCCACGTCGTCACCGATGAGCCACTTGTAGGTGGTGTCTCGCCTCAGGCTCAGGAGTTCCCTCTTGCGGTTCGAGAGGTAACCACAGCCGGCATTCATGTCACCCAAAATAATCAGGTTCTTTAAAACGAAAAAAAGCGACTTGACATTAGTTCAACTCAAGTCTATTATTAAGCACTTACCTCACTTGTGGGCTTTGGAGTTGTAAATCTCACGTAACCTTAAATCTATCATCTGGCTTATCGAAAACAGAACACTCCGTGCTGCCCTGCCCGCGTCTACGTGACTCATCGACCACACGCTTAATGTCGCATCGTGTCTGCTACCCAATCACTACTAATCGGGACCATCAGCAGATCTTGTGCTCCTGCTTGAGCATCACCCTATCTTACTTGAGTCTCAGCAGTCCATTTGCCAGATGCAGGTTCGAACCCCACTTAGCAATCCTAACAAGCGGATGGTGAAGATTTGGAATGGAGTAATGATTCACACTTAGATACTTCCAAATATGTGAGGTTAAGCTCCCACAGAGCTGGAGTTTGGAAAGCCTGAAAATCAAACATTAGGTTGACTGGGGTTACTTGAGGACCTGGAAACCAACTAAGGGAGAATTTTTGCATCTTTGACAAGGCGCTAAAGTGAAGATTACCTCGGTATGTGCCATCGCCACACATTTCGGTGCAACTTTGTAGAGAGTCTCCATCTCCGCAAAGACAACGTCAGGATCAATGTGAACAGCCAACGAGGCGAACTTGAAGCCGTCCTATAATGCCGGAAAGGGAAGGAAAGGTGAAGATGGATTTGTTAGGTTATCAGTTTATTGCTTTTCTCAGAACACCGAGATTAACTGACGCGCACACAGCCAAAGCGTCGTGGTTAGGCTTACGTGAGTGAGACCTACGAGGTTTCACGGCAAATGAGCCTTCGAACACTGACACAGAATTCTCAACTTTAAAAGTGAGGAGGAGATGAGGTGGTGGCACGTTAACCCAGCAAGGCTCAAATGAGTCGATGCCCCAGCAACTTCTAAAGGGTTAGTTTGTGAGCCCAGGCTGATGTTAAATGAATAAACCCACGTTTGGCTGTTGTCAAAATTGGTGGTTTTATTTGCATCCAAAATATCGATAAACAAAGTTAGAAGGCCTACGGAATTTCAAACACAGATAATTAGGTATAGAAACAGAATATCTTATTTTATTTTAATTAGGCGCCATGTTTGAATAACAAAGGCTACAGACAACGAGGTTAACAGCAAGCAGAGACAACTTATCTTCTTTGCGGACAGCAAATAGCAATACGGCGGTCTCTCGAATGCCTTATCGAGGCCATTCATTGTGTAGTTGCCGGCCAGTTCAATTTTATCAGGTCTGAAAACAGCCAAATTGGTACTTGTGTTGTGGGACAAGTGTCGCCATTGGAAGCAGTCATAACGATTTCGACAGCGATGTTTGATGTGCATGGAAGCGTGCACCTCGTCAGTAGTCACCATGAACACACACAACCTCTATTTAAGACTACTAATTACGTGGCAGAAGTATTCGCAATTGAAGTTGTCATTTGTGGAGAGGGATGCGCTGAAACGCTCTATGTTTGTGAGCAGAAGTCTAGTTGTAAGTCATTTCACTGTTGAATAGGATACTTTGTTCGACCAAGAGTCGTAAAATGTTTTTTTTTTTGAAGAAAACGGCAGCGTTTTGATTGGAGTTGAAAAAAGAAACTTCCCGTTAGTTACTGGACCTTTTACAAATCAATCGTACTTTGGCGAAAGTCACACTCCTTAAAATTTATGCCAACTTACCGATAAATCAGTCCAACTTGTTCTTTGGATGCAGTTCTGCCATACCTAGGTCCGACGTGACCAACGTAGCGACGGGTAATTTTGCGACCGCAAAATCTCGGATAAAAGGAGAAACTTGGTGAAAATAGAGAAGCCCGTTTCTGCTGCAAAGTATGAAGCAAACCTCAGATCAACGGGATGACGCGGTGGAAGGGTTCGCAAGCTTTCTGCGGAGTTTGCAATGCAACTGTACACGAATTATGGATGCGTGGAAGCCTAATGACTACGTGACGTCGACTGTGTTGTAATGGAGTCTTGTTTAGATACTCATGGTTTTGCTAACATGCACGTGGGCGTGTATGTGTGACTTCGTTGTTGGAATAACCAGCTGCTAAGGGTCAAATTTATGTTCAATAGCACCAATCTTAATCGAACAAATTGCCCAGTAGCCGCGACAATTTGACATGCGAAGTCGGTATCATCAAACGGACTAGTTCCATCGAAACGTCGCTTGTTTTAGCAAAAAATTACGATATTAAGTTATAAAATAGGTTTTTATGGAGCCGTCTCTGAATGTGGATGCTAGGTGTACACCCGCTTTCGGTAATAAGGAAAAGGCAATTGTGCTGCAGGTTGCACAGATACTCTGTAGCTAGGAGCCTCAAAGTATGTCAATACATGACACAAATTTCCCAGATGCACCACCAACATCTCAGGGGTCGAGATCGCGCTGAATGCAACCAACGATTTGTAAAGTGTGTGGGAGAAAGTGCCTCCATAATTTAGTTGGAGCCGGGGGCAGTCACACCGCATTAACTTCTAGCAATAATGCTTGGCCAGACACTAAAACGACCCCTTTTTTATAACAAAATCATGATGCAGTTTGCTTTGAAGTAACTAAATATTAGTGAATTTAAATTTACCGAGATTTGCAAGACAAAAGAGATGAGACAGCGACTGTAGAATGAAGCAAAGTCCATTTACAGTGTGCAGTATATGCTTTGCAAAATGCCGCCTTGTTACAAGAATTGCATGTTTTAGTGGTATAGAGTGGCATTCTTGCACAAAGCATATAGCTGTGGCCTTTCGCCAGATTGTGCCACGGGTTCAACTCCAAGCAGGGTTACTGATGCTCCACCGTGTGTGGCTTTTCCTTTGCACCACAATCGGGCGGTTTCGCCAGATCGTCACACACACTGACACACTACCCACACCACTTCACACAGCGGCTTAGGGGGGGGGTAGCATCCCAGAGCCACCAATCTCGTCTCTCAAAGCCCCTTCGGTAGGTGTTTGTGACTAATCATTCACCAAATGATTCTGCGCAAGCTTCATCCTACTCTGGCTGCACACCAAAGTGTTTGATTTGCTTGAGGAATCAATGAGAGCAGTTAGTAATTCCCCCAGAACTTTGGCTAATTCTTTTAAAATTATCTTAACCCTGGCTGCATCTTTCAAAATTTTACATGATTAGCCTTTTCAATGTAATCTCGAAGGATGCAAAGGCCAGTTTGAAACACATCTGTGCAGAATCTTGCGTAACGGGGCTGCTCACTTGAAAATTAGCATTTGCAGATTATCCAGTCTGCGTAGAAGCGAATGCTAATCACTCCACACGTTGACCAAAGTGATTCAAGGGCGTACCTGCTAGTTTTCAGTTTAAAACCTTAGATGCACGGAAAGAAAACTTGTTTAAATGGGATCCAGGAATGCTAAGGCAAATTGCCTGAGTTACAGCCAGACGATGTCTTCCAATTTTTCAGTGGTTAATCCAGTGTACGTTGTTTTGAGTTAATTAGGCATAGATTCAAGCAAATTACCCAGTGCCCAGGTAGAATGTGCATGTTTCAGGGAAATGCACTCATTTTGCAAGGATAATAGAGCATTAACTTGCATCTACCTTCCCCGAGGGCCAGTAGGTGCATTCGACCATGTCCTTTCGTTGCCGTTGACAGCGTTCAAAAGAGCTTGGAAAGCCGACTGAGACTTGTCTCGTATCTCGTGGATGAAGACAGCGTCGTAACGTCGGATTATCTGAAAAAAAGTACCACAAGAGAAGCAACCCACTTTTCCAAGAACGGCCATTAATTCGGGATTCCGGGTCTTCTTCACACCGAAATTTTGAATGTTGAATGAGGCCATTTTCAGCCCCTTAACCGATTCCTGGCTGAAGAAAAGCACCACCAATGAAACCAATAAAATGTGCATTTTGACTACGAACACACCGAACTATTTGCCACTGTCTTATACGCGGTTGTCACCACACCCACGCCCACAATCACTAACAACAACGAAAACTTACATGATTGGTCGCCTACATTCGAACGGTTTTGCTTGAACCATTTTGTGACGGTGCACAACTAGTTTGAAGGTGTTTTGCCATTCGTGCCTTCATTTCCATTTGTTTTTACCCTCGGCAAAGCCCTTTGACATCTTGAATAAGGGGTCATTTGTGTTAGATGACGCGAAGTTTGTGCGACTGCACTTTCACTCAGCGAATGTGACACTAGAATGAGTAGTCTCATCACGAAACGGGGTCAACGTGCAAAGCCAATGACTTGACAATAAATTTTGTGCTTCACGGTGTACACACGTTCAAGGGGTTTATAAAACACTTGAAGTTTTTGAACTCAAATCCTGAAACAGATCAGCACGCAGAGGATAACGTATTACTAATGTTGCCTTGTCAACCACATTTCTCTATGCAACCAGATTCATTTTATTTGCAATTTAAAACAAAGCTTGGCACTTGTGGAGCCTATATGGTCGTAGATACGCATCGTGTCTAATGCATCGTCGATGCGAAATCAAGCATTGTTTATCGAATGGATGGACCATAAAATGACTCAAGGTGCACACATTGAGACACAGGGAGGGAGGTGGAGAATCCACCAACCAACACATCCAAACGTGTTCTCTATTTTTTCAACTGAGAAGAAGTCATAATAGACGGACTTAAGCACAGCACCTTCCAACAAGTCATGTAGGAATATCAGCTTCATCCCACAACAGCCCTGGGTCAATCACGTTGCCTGGGTTGAGGTGCTGGAGAGGAATGCGCAATACCACGGACCACGAGACACCCCAAAATTCTGACGAATCAGTGTTGTCTACCACTGACGACGTTGTAACCGAAGTGAAAATGAGGAATTGACTGAACTACATCAGCAGGCGTTGAAAAGGGAGCGCTTGGTTAAAGTAGATGGTGCTTCTTGGATTGCATAGTCAGATTAAATTTAGATTCACTGACACACGCAAAGCCCCAGTGCTCCTGGAGTTTACTGCCCACTCTAATCCAACTTGCGATCCTGCCAATCAGCATTATTAATTTCTTTTAAAATAACGTAAAACACGGGCAAGTTGGCAAGTCAGAAGCGAATAAAATTAGACGAAGCTAAAAATAAGGGTGCTTGAGGGTTTGGATGCGTGATTGGCATCGAGAGCATGGAGACAGATTTCCCAGTACGTGGGAAAGGTTATTTTGGAGATGGTGCACATCTCACTTACATTTTTGAGAAATCCACACGTAAAAGACCTGATGCTGATGCTAACAATTTTTTCAGTGCAGCGTGTAGCAAAAACATCTGGGTTTTCGGTTCTCATAGAACATTCCAACAATTTTTTCATTGGAGGCGGTACCATGATTTCTGATTACACTGCCTTGTCGGTTTTATTTGCTTAAAGGTCATTCATAACTGGTTTCAGTCAGTGGTAAAGTAATGAATTTTTGAAAGCACAAACTGAGCGAAGTAACTGAGACGAATCATCTTCTCTTCGCCACTTTCAACTTTCCACCTGACCTGGTCAGGTGGGTTGTGTGACTGCTGTGGAATCACCTATTCACAAATCATCAAGATACGTGTAAATAATTTGATGATATTCTATCTAATGTACAAGGAATCTTCCCAAACCCAGGGTACAAATGTGTCTCCTCGTTTTAAAGCCATCGAACATTTCCTGCTTTACACCGCCCCCGCCTAATAACCTTCAACGGAACTACGTCAGCTGGTCGAACGTGAGCGCGCCCGTCTTGTTGTTTTACTTAGAAACGCGCTGGCTATCTGCCGTGTGTTCATGTGACTGATAATCCACAAAGCCCTTTGTCATTTGACGACTGTTTTGTTTCCTCCTGTTCTCCCATGTCATAAACGAACACAATTAACAAGGGGAATGCGATAGGGGTTTTATGTCTCACGTGTCGACTGTTTTACGCCCAGCGCAAGAAAGCTAAATTGAAAGTAATAAAATGTGGTTAGTTTATGCGGCAGATCACGGCTCTAGTTGTGGTCGGGTCGGTGTTTTCATCGTCGCAGGATTTGCCTGCATACACCTGATTTAATTTGGGAAATCTGATCTGAAGTGGGATCGCGATCTGTGGAGTTGATGAGTGCTCAGCGATTTCACGCATTTCGGTGTTGAGGTGTTTGAGGAGTTGGCTGTCACCTAACGGAGGTGTGCGCTCACTTGGCACTTACCATCTTGGCACAACAGTCGACTGCATTCTTTGGCTTACTATTAGACTGAGTCGGTGTTTATTTGAGTGCTGGTTTCTGCAGTAATGTGATTAAGCACACTTGCTTGCCAAATCGCCTCAACACAGAGGGGCCTCAATGCATTCAGTTGCACAAAGAGGATCAAAACTGCACTTTTACTAGGTGTAAATAACAGCAGCTTAGGCATTCATTCAAGTTGTCCTAAACAATGAAAATTACAAGAGTAAGCAGAATAAACAGCAAGGATTAAAAGTTAAGTGAAAACAAAAAAAAATAACGAAATATACTGCTAGGGGCTGATTTGAATAGTGTTCTAAAGAAACCAGCCTAGTAAAACAAGGCCTTAAACGGAAATAATATGAAAAATGCCACACCTGAGAAGCATTTCATCCCAAACCTGACTCTGAGCCCAGTGCTTTCGTGTTTGGCGAAACTTGGTGTTACCAGAAAGGCAATAAAAGTTAGCAAGTACTCTATCCGAGGTAGAGAAGGTAAACTAAGACCAATCGAATTACAGGGAATCATTCCAACCCAATTTGGTTGACCAATGGGGACGGATGTTCTGAGGTATGCACTAACCTCAAATACCATGATCCTGATCGCATTTAATTGGGGAACTGGGGCAAGCGATCCCTGAATTTGCTTATGGAACGAATATTCCATCAACACTATCCCTATCAAACTGGAATATCTTCAGCTTGTAAGCCAGCCATGTGGAGAGATTACATTGCTTTACGGTCAAATAGGGTTTAGTCTCAAATCAGGCATAGAACAGACCACGTTGATACCATGTGTGGCTAATGTGTAAATCATTTAAGCATTAAACTTGTAGTGGACTGACAGCCGCCCCGCGCGAGTGTGCGTGCATGAAGGCCCGTGTGTAGCGATGACTCATCCCCTTTT